TTAAAGGAAATACAACTCTATAGGTACGAATATATTTGGACTAAAGTCGTGTAGTCTAGTCGTGTAGGCTATTAACCTTTGTAATAGACAAAAAATATGATAAGAAATAGTCGCGCCATTGTCTAAAAACTACCTATAGGTAAAATGAATTTAATTAACGTTCTCTTTATAGACAAATCACTATTAAGTTTTTGCATTATTTTAAGTTACTAGCATACGGTTCACCTGATAGTTGGTAAGTTACTACCGCTATCCTTCCTTTAGAAGTTGTTTGTTTGTTTGTTTCTATAAACTTTATTATATATATATATATATATATATATATATATATATATATATATATATATATATATATATATATATATATATATATATATATATATATATATATATATATATATATATATTATAAAACAACATCTTAATACGTATTAAATATAGATTTTTAATATGGTATAGAGGTTATATATATATGTTATATATTTTATATTAGTTAACCCGTAACTTGATTATTCAAATTCCAAATATGTTCTTTCCCTAAAAAATATTGTTAATATGTTTTTCCAATAAATTTTAGGTTACTTGTAAGCCACATTAAACTTACTCCCTCATCCATTATCCTCAGGTACCTAATATGAAAATGTGAAAGTGAATTTGTTTGTTGATTGCGTTTTCACGACTTAAATATTAAAGCTACCTACCGAGTAGATAAACGTTGACAGAGACTCAGTTAGAAACCTAAGGATGGTAGAAATTTTGAACTTTTTTTATTATTCCATAATTATCCAAAACGTCCATCAGATTTGTGTCTTTATCACGGTGCAGTAATACCTACATAAACAGACATAATGACTTCATCGCAAATCATATAAAAACATCTTCAATATGCATTTTTTTGCACATGTGCATGGCAACTTTCATGTAATTAATAAGGTTGTCATACATAGGTATCTGTAAAAATGCAATAAATAATTTTTGTTATCATGAAAGGAAATGGACTCCCAAGGTCTTGCAAAAGAAAAAATAATTAAATTAAATTTTGAACAATATGACAGACATACCTATTTATTAACGTATAAACTTATTAAATGTGAAACCAAATCATTGTTTGTACTTTTATTCAACAGTCGGTACCATTTTCAATGATATGAGAAAAAAAAGTTAAAGAAACATGGTTTAAGCACTAAAGATAATATGCAAACTATTTTCTTGTATAATATTTTTATAGATAATATTTCGTATAATTTCTCATGTGACTACATATTCAATTGTGATGACGTAAATGTAGACTATTTATAATTTTAAGTTTGCACTTAATAATAAATACATTAAAGTAATTTGATCCATTTTTATAGTTAATATTTTACCTGTTTTATATTATATGAACATGCCAACCTACTAACTTAATGGCTACGAGCTTCTCCAAATATAAAGAAGTCGTGTGGTACGTAAACGGGTGGGTGAACGACCAAAAACTCCATAATACGAAATGTAAAACGTAAGTCTAGCTTTATCTTGATCATTAGTTGCCACAGCTGAAACAGAATGTTAATTAATCAATAAAATATAATATGTTAAGCTATGAACGCAACACGCAGAGCGTAGTCAAAGGCAGGGTTATCGAAAATTTCATATAAAGTTGAATTTTGACTAAAAAATAAACAAGATAGAATAAAAGTTGGAGCATAATACTAAGTAGGTATTTAATAATATAAAAACTATGCATAAATGTAATAAGCAGAGCATTCGCTTTTAAGAAAACTCTTAGATTTTTACGTGGAGATAGATCCCTTAGACAAGTAGCAAATGAATCTCTCGTCAAATACGTTTTAGATACCGCAAGCATGTGATAGAACGATAGCAACACCCAGTATTTAATTCTTTCGCATAAGTGCGAATTTAGAATGAATAAATATTAATTCTAAACTATCACAAGTCTAGTGGGAAAAGTTCGTTTTTATTTCACTTTAACGCATTGGGGTCTTATGCATTTCCATTTGCATTACCCTGAAGATTTTATCTAATAGATAATATTTATGGTACTTTCCTGAATTCATAATACTTGTAGTCTTCTGGTTTTGGATAACCTATTTCCAGAAGCCTCAAGATATTTGCCAAGAATTCACAATTTCATGCGATTGATTTTCTTTTATTCATTGATTGGTACAAAAATAATGCCTTCCTTTTCTCAATTCAAAATCGATTATATCGATATGTAATTTGCTAATTCATATTCATAGTATTTTCAAAAGTTTTCAGAATTGATTTGTTTACTAGATGACAATTAGAAACTATTTTTTCTTGCGAGTTGGTAGCCCTATCTGGGGTCAGGGCGGTACATCGTGACCGCGTAGGCTCGAGTTTTGGTCCATCCGCCCACACTGCACATTACCTATTGTCTTCCCACATGTAGATGGCACGAGACGACGCGGAGACGTGATGTCACGTCAGATACAAGTAATTAGGAAAAAATATTTGATTTTTGATCTCCTATTATACTTCATATCCTTGTCAATTTTTTGTATTGCAAAGATCCTGCATATTCTGTCCCTCTTTCAAAAATGTGATTTCTAAAGCATTATCGGATTATATTGACAAATAGACCACAGTGCGGTATTTAATACAGGACAGAAAGTACGTTTACAATTGCAAGTATGCGTCAAAGACATCTATTTCTGTAGCGGTACTAATGTAAGGTAAACAACACGTTAATGGTCAGTAACCATTGTTGAAATCTGTTCCCGTCCCGGCCGACATATTCCCAGTAACTGAGGATTAAGAAATGCACATCTTGTGTGGCGAACTGGGGCCGTGCTAAGCTTAGTTCCGTTCGGATGTAAAGAGGATTTAAATAGCCGGAGGTGTACATTGTACTATGTAAGGTATTTTGATGTAATATAGATGTTCGGATTAAATCTCAAATGTATTATTATATTTCATATTTAACTTAATATGTTAGTACATTTATTATTGTAAAATATTGAAAAATTAAAAAAAAAAAACAGATCGTGATGTTTGCAAATATGTACGTAACATATTTAATAATTCAGGTTGATTAAGTTTAGAATAATAATTAAATCGATACACACATAAAAAATAACACATAAGTACTGCGTAAATTTATGATACATACAGTATAATATAAAGAACAATAGTCAAGAGTGAATAATAAAGAAGAAAGGCGATCCGTGGGCGTGAGAAAGCCGCGAAGGCGGCGCGGCCAGCGCGGGCGCCGCTAATGTGCTAGTCAAACACGAAACATGCACGTCTGCACTACTGGAAATTTTTGTGAACACGTCGTAGACAATTTAATATCAAATAATACACATTATTATTATACTTTGATGAATAAATTTTTAAGTGACTTAGAAAACAAATATTCAATTGGTCTGTGTATTACACTATAATTTCGCCAATTTTGCCAAAAACTTGAAAATTCTTTTTGCACTCGATACGATTTACATCTGTCTTGGTTCCATAAGAATTTTGTTACGAACGATTACAAGCTTTTAGAACAAAATCTGAAATTATAAATTCCATTTAGTGAATTTAGGTAAACTGAACTATTAATAGCCGCGTGATCCCGGCATACAATAGGCCACCCCTTCCTTTCCTGTGGGTGTCGTAAGAGGCGACCAAGGAAATACGAGGGATGGGCAGCATTGTCCTTCTTAAAACATCTCCAAAGCCTAACTGTGGTTGCCAATTCACTTGCCAAGCGTGGCAACTACTGGCAAGACCCCCCAAGGGGAAGGCTTATGTTCAGCAGTAGATAGTTAAAGGCTGATATGATGATGAACTATTAAACTTTTAAGTGAAAAATTAATGAATATTTAATAGAAAGATCTTATGAGTGTAATAACAATGTTATTTAAAAAATATTAATAGCCTCTAAAGGTAAAATGAGAAAGAACATAAAAAATGGGGGTAGAATGTAACAATAATTAGAATATAAGTAAGAGTCAATTATTTTGGGTAATAATCTAGGTGAGTAACTTTGAAAAAGATCTACAATCTGTTGAGTATAATGATTGTGGTCACGTGTAACACTAAAGAAATTGTCATTTAGTACTATACCTTTATATAGATGAATTGAAAATATTTTTATAAATGTATGATAAAATCAATAAGTTCGTGCGGCGGTCATGTGAACCAAGCTTAGCAGTAAGTACATATACTGTGATTCCCAGCACTCAGCATGCAACTTTGATACTTATCTCCTCTCTCACTACTCTCACGTCGCAGTGACTAATTGCCCCTGCTCACCACCCATGAAATTACACCATTTAAATACATATATTTTAAAACAATTATGAACAATGCTGGTAAATCTTAAAAGATTATCAACACTTTATTTAATAACCCTTTTATTAGAGTTATTAATTAATGAAAAGATTCAATTCCAGTAACCTTAGTATCTAGTTCATTTAATTTTAAAACATTCCATTGAGTATGTTTAATAACATACTTTAGTAACAGTAAGCGTTGATATAATTTTTCTGTCATATTTTTTTGCAATAACATTAATATTTGCATGAAAAAATGTTATTTGTACATCGCTACCTACATCAGTCGGGACCTCTTGTTTTAAGCAATATAAGAAAAATGTATAACGACCTGGCTATGAATTCCATTGCTTATTATTATTTATAAGTGCCGGCGCTATCATCACGGAGCTCTTACTAGTAAAAGTTCGATTCCAATGCACCTTTTAATTGGCAGCTCCCTGAGAACGGCAGGTTAATTTATCGGTTAAGCTGCAACACGTGTTATTATCTGGACGTCAACTATACACTAGCCTGTATTAGGGGCGTTTACCCTATATTTCCATGTTCATATATGAATATTAATTGGCGTTTGTCTTGTGTGCGCATTCCCATTACTGAAACGATTCACTGCATTTTCATTTAATATTTTGTTACATATATAACAGTTCCAATCCATAAAACTATGAACAATGAAATTACAAATAATACCTTGTGATATTTAGGGCTGTAAACACTATGATACAATCAGTGGCGATGATTCGTAACCACCACTCTTCCCCGAGGCCACATGACGAATCCAATTAACAGTACTAACGAATGCTGTCGGACGTACACTATTTATGTTTCCTCACAGTCGCACTGTAAATATTTAGTCCGGGAGGCGTCTGGCATCGGCCTTGTCTTATCTCCTCATCACACATGAACATTTTCATGGACAACCCTCGCCGCTGTCGACATGTAAATAACAAGAAAGTGGCACCCGAACGGGCTGTAAACTTCCGTTCGCAGATCATCTGATAGTTTATTTATTTAAAGTGGATAGTCACGTGCTACCAGTAATATAGCAAGTAGCAAAGCGATAAATCAAACATCGACTCGGCAGTGCGGCAGCGCGGCAGCGGCGGCGGCAGCGGCAGTGTCGGCGGCAGCTCATGCTCAGGCGCTGTGCAAGTCGCGTGCGCGCGTGGGCTTCGACAGGTGATGTCGGTCGATTATCTGCTAATTTATACGCGCCGCTCAACTTCTGTTCTCTCATATTATATTATTCATTTTGACTCAACGCAAACGAGCTCGCTAAATATAGAGAGCGGCATTCCATGGACGAGGAACGCGCCTTGTTCTCGCTTAACTGTCGAATTGTTTTATTATCCTTTTTCGATCGCAATTTCTTATTTAAATGCCACTTGTTCGCCGAAGGTGGGATGGCGGTCTCCTATTTGGAGCAATATTATTGTTGTTACCGGGTGATGTCACCGAGCCATGCCATCATCGCAAGGGGGCCCGTTTTGGAATCTTTATGATCGCCACCTCCACATATTCATAGCAGTTCATTCACCGATGAATATGAATGTTATTGTCATTTCAGATTTATCTATTTGCGATCAGGATCAAGTAAGCGGTACCGCGATTGTTTTACGTGACTAATTCTTCTTTATGACAACAACTAAACATATCTTTCGTTTAATAACATGACCTGTAATACAATATTTATTATGTTTATTATTATCAATCGTCACTGTATTATCTTTATATTATTATTCAGGTTCTGTGTTTATTTATACTTTTACATTATTACATTAAAATGGACTAATCACATAATCTTTCATATGTACACTATCCTTATTTTTTCGACTTCTTCTTTAAATCCATCTAAATAATTATTTAAGACACTTAAAGCAAAGTTACAGTTTATGGGCATGCCAGTCCATTAATTTCTTCTGCCATTAATCTCATATTATCCATCTGAACATATTCATTACTCTTCTTCTATTGCCATTTATATTGTAACGTTTAATATTAATAGAGTTTTGTTAGTCTAGTTTGAATAGATACTATCATTTTACCAAACATAAGGCAATTTTTTGGTCTGAATATCTGTAAATCCATAATCTCCAGATGCAGGGGAGGAACGGATTATTAGTAATGCGGACTACCAGTCCCATTGCTAGCAATATACCCTGTTAAGTCAACCTCTACGTGGTCTTCCTGAAAACGATCGTGCTGAATTCCATCAGGTATATTCATCACGAATGGCTAACTGACCTGCCTTTTCCTACTCATCTTTCATCTCTCACTGCTGCCCCGCCAGCGTATACGATTAGCGCAGGCTGAATTACCGTTGCATTATCATCCATTAAAAAATCCTTAGTGGCAGTATTCATGATGGTGTTATTAATAGACGACAGTTACCGCTTTCCATCAGGTGAGCCACCTGGTTAATGTTTGCCATCCAAAACATCAAGGGTATCATCGCGCGCCCAATTTCAGTATGTAATCATTTATTCCATTAGAAATTTAGGTATTTCTACCGAAAATATAATAGTAACATCAAGCTGCATTTTCTTCCAGAATATTGTGGTTTTTATAATTATTGGTCCTAATTAAGTTATTTATAATTCACATAATTTATTGCGATACGTAAATTAAAATATTGAAAATTAACAATTTAGTTTTATAACAAATTATTAATTTATAAATTATTAATAATTTGTAGCATTTTAATACTTATTACTTAATAACAATAATAATATGATAATTAGAAACCTTTGAACATTTTTAGAATATTCAGTATTAGTTACTTAATATTCGGGCGAGTTGACCGTCATGGGCCTGTGATATCATCTCGATCTGTTTATGTATGTCTCATCGGATATCCTTATTGGCAACTATGATTGTATAACTACAGAAATATTAACGTATTTATTGCACGTGCATGGCGGAATTTAAATTCGCTTATATATACAATGCTTTATGCAATAATACTTTTAAGCAACTTCAAAAAAAGGAAGATATTCGTCCGTATATTTTTTTGTATGTATGTTAAATAAATTTAAAAAAAATTTATAATTTATTTTGCAGTTAATAAGACTCATATCTCTGTTGGTCATCTTTCTAGCAGGTCTTACACTATATTACAGATTTGTCACTATGAATCTGTTAGTTCATATAGTAATACAAACACAGATAGAAAGTAAATTACACACGACATAAAACAATGAGATGGAAATAAAACATAACGCAACCCTATCCCACGTAAACAAACCAAAGGGCACAGGTGCGTGTGAACTTGCCGCGCGTGAAATTACGGTAAATTTACTCCGGTGTGGTCTAAGAAAAAATATTGTTACGATTACACAAGCCATCAACCCCCGCCGACGATTCGCCACGGAGACCTCCGGAGGCTATCATCATTTGTCCCTCCTCACATTACCCTTGGAGGGATGCCGCCCTTTTTTGCCAGTCCCAAAATTCTTGATGACTGTTCGTGTCCAGTGAATGAGTAATTTTATTGCAAAACTAACTGTGCCCATGTTTCGCTTAGTATCAAAAATTAATATACACATTTTACTGCAAAACTAAAAGTTTCTCTCGCAATATAATCAGCTCAATTTAAACGGGAGCTGAAAGGGATGCCTGGCATCTGACTAACTTCTTTCTTTCTTATCTGCCTATAGTTAACAGCTCAGCACAGAATATGCATAACATAGCCCGGGCAATTATAGGTGAGGAATATAACTATATATAATTAGTTTAATAAATTGCATTCAATGAATTATAATATGCTCAGAGAAAGGTGGGCCATCAAGCGTTACGTTTTACTACAACAGTCGATAAATGTCTCTGTCTACTCCATTAAAAATTATAGTCGTAAACATATATTTATTCATTTTTTCTATAGCTGTGCTAGTGAGTTTACTCATTAACAGTAGAACCAAGTCCTCAAATGGTATTTTATCTGGTTCAGAAGATTGAGTTTTTGTCGTGATGATGATAAGCACCTTAAATTGGAATTAAACAGGTCTTATAATTTTATCATTAGCTGTTCATTGTTGTATTTACAGTGAATCATTTCTGAGGTTTATATTAATATAAGCGGAATTTATACAAAGCTAGTTTAGGAACATGTTTCTATACTGTGCTTTGGCTTTTGTATGATAATTTTTATTGTAGATAGCTACATTATTGAGACGGCGATCATTTGATGGAAAAAAGTTATAAGAATTGCAAGATGTCCGAGGCTTTAGAATACCTTGCATTGTGCACAGAGAGACAATAGGCGATATAGAAATTAATGTCCTGATCAATGTCACAATCACTCGGAACTCCTTTTCTTCTAATTACTTTAATCCTTATTTTTGTCCAGATTTTAATGATAATTGTCGCTTACTTACTTACTATAAAGTAATTAATCTTTACTAATGTTATAAATGTAAAAATGAGTTTATTTATTTATTTGTTTGCTATTTATCTCTTGAAGTGACTTAATATTAGATAATTATGTCAGTATGTATGAGCTATGCATGGATTAAAATGACCACTACAAGCACTCATAATGTCATATTGTATATTTAAACGAAAGGTTGTATATTATTACAGTGTAAGTAAAAGTATTAAAGTATATATAAACATCTTAAATCGTATACATCAAAATGGAACTAGAAATACTGTGAAATTGAGAACTGCATCCGTTTTAAAATCGGTTACAAATAATGGAAGCATGGAACTACAAACAAGCTACAAGAATATAATCGTTTTGTTATCTGATTTAGCGTTTAAAGAATTATTAGATAAGTCTTTCTTTCGAATTAATTTACAGCTACTGCATTTAAAGATTTATTAGTATTTTGTAATTGTTTTAATAATTTATATTGTAATAATAAGATCTTTATTTTAACAATTATGTTACAGTTTTTCTTTATTATTTGTAAGTGGATTAAACAATAAAGATAAGTTAGGATTGAATCGAAAAAATAACCTGTTCTGTTGTTTAAAAATCTAAATATTTCGTAAAGGGATCAAAGAGGCGCGACACGGACCGCAGCCGGGCGCCAAGATCGCAACGATATCGTCGCTAGAACAGTAATCGTCAATAAAATCTCAATTTAGATGGCACCGATACTGCGTGAGTTACGGACGGACAGTCCGACAGAACACGAAAACCTACTTGAGGATGGAATGCGCCCTGTGACAGGACCAGCTAACGAATTAGGTGCTTACACGAGATCCTTAGACAATTTCTCAATTATTTATTTTTAATACATTAATTTTTTTTTTGTTTCAGCACCATATTTTGAAAGGGTGGGATTGTTTAATGGTATACAGTTTGGGAAGTTTAGTCCCCACAAGGCATAAAGCTGCGACTTGCGCTGGTGCACGATGGGACGCGTCCGCCACTTCGAATTAATGACGGTTTGACGCCTCGTCGACAGCGGCACGCCTACGCCTATTTATAACATTGCTTTTTGTCTTTTTGCCCCCACCCCGCTGGCCAGTCACAGATAAGAAGGACTCCGAAGTGGGCATTTAAAAATAAATTTGTCGAAAGTGATAAATGATGAATATAACTTTTATTATTTCAAATTAAATTAACGATCTGGACGGAACGTCTACCTTTTCTCACATTAGAGGGATCTTATCTGGAATGATTGCTTCCATTACCTTAGAGAATGGACACGTTGTTTTGTAGGAGGGTAGATAAAGAGATTAATGCGTAAAGCAATTAATTTTGATTGAGGTGTGTTTTATTAAGTAAAATAATTGTTTTTGTTCCCAATGTAAATTAGGGACGCACCGTGAAGCATCACTGTGGATATGTCTATTGTCTTTCAGCAATAGTTTCTTTTATTTATATATAATAAGGAACAAAATATCGCAAAAGATAAGAATAACATATGCTAACAATATTTACTGAAAGAATTCAAGCAAGCAAATCTTTTTTATTATTCCATTAAAAAATAAAAATACTATAATAATAAAAGAGGTATACTTTTAAATAAAGTTCTCTTAATTAAATATTAGACAATATATTAATATTAATTATTATTTAGACCTTATTAAATACAAAATATTTGGGATACATGATCATTAAAACTTTTATTATACTGATTTTTTTTCATTTGGTGAAATATTGGAAACCGAAATCAGTTACTATGTACTTAATTTTTTATTTTATATTTCTGTCAACTGTCCGCTGCTGAATATAAGCCTCCCACATAAGAGTACTTACGAGTCACATGTTAATATGATTACGACATATGAAATATTTTGATAAAATTTATTTGTTTTCTGCTTTTATTATAGGTATTTCACTTCTGTTTGGATGAAGCGATATTGAAGTTAACATATACCTAAGCGGTATTTAAAATGTTGACGTGTAGCGGGTTCCCACAGCGAGCTTTAATACATTTTCCGTGTCCCAGTTAGCGCCCCATAAATTGATTAAGGGACCCAGCGCCGCTCCTCGCGCTGGTTGCTCCAAAGTTTTTTGTGTACGTACGAGACAGGTAACTCAGCTCATGCCATTTCATGGTGAACATAGCGTTCTTAATGACGATAACATTTTTTTATAAATATGATTCCGTAAAGGTCAAAAAGGTAACCTTGCGATGCGTCGGGATTTGCTTCTGCTTCTTGGTATATTGCGGCGGCGACAAATATATCAATAAAGAGACATATTATGTTAGTAACTTGAAATAAGTCATTACTTAGTAAAACCCTAATTTAACCAATTAAAATGATGTAGAATTCTTTCAATTTTTATTGTTAAAAATATTTATAAAGAGAGCAGTTCCTATTTGAGTCATCAATTGATTTATACCTACAAGGAAATTACAAAATGTAAATCAAAATAAAATCTTATCGTATTAATATAATAAAATCGTAACTAGACGTCTAGATATATACGAAAAATATAAGGGGTCTAAATGAGGACAACAGAAGTCAGAACAAATTTTTATAGAACTTTTGTAAATCATCTGTTTCGAAAAAGCTAAAATCTTATCGTATTATATATTTTATATATACCATCTAGTATTTATAAAAAACTAGTTAAAAAACTAGTTAATAAAAATGTCCTTACGAATATAATCTCTTAAGAGGTAGTCAAAAACAGTTGCTGACTCCTTCTGGTGAACATAACACTCAATATCCATATTTCGCTGAGCATACAAAACTTCAACGTAATAGGAAACCCTAACGTCGTCATTTGGACTAATTTTATTTTTATCAGCGTTTTCCATCATCTGAGAATGAAATATGACGTATTATAGTTAGATATTAATAAGTGCTACACTATTACACCAATTACCTGGTTAATAAACTAGGATACTCTATGCTACTAGGAACCAGGCAATGAACTTCTGGAGGCGCAACCCAGAATACCATTTTCAGATCCAAGCCAATTTAGAAAAGTTGGTTTCCTAAATTAGTCCGACCGAGAATCGAATACGAGACCTCATTTACGTAATGTAACGTGCCCACCACTGCACCACGGAGCTCTATCGAGCAGTTTCAATTGTCTCTACGCATTATTGACGAGGAACCTATAGACTTACTTTTAAATTAAAATTTGATGCGTCACAAATTTAATCTCTTTAACCATTCGGTGCCTAAGTTGGCGTAATGGAGTGAACTAATTTCCTGTTAGGAAATTGCTTTACTGAGCGAGTACGATTTCCCTAAAAGCTTCTGTTCCAGTCACCGACAAAACATCAATCATTTACTATGGACTGATGTAAATACATTTTCATAACAATGGGGGACATTGCTCGTAAGGAAACCATACGTTCGTGGCATTTAATGGTTATAATATTTGTTTGTAAAGTTAGATATAGTAGAAGTAGCTCGACTTCTGTAGCTCGAACTAATCACTATTACAATTAGGGCTAGTGCAGACGAAGGATTTACCTCAGACTTTATAACAAATTTGTGTGGGATAGAAAATTTTAAATGCATACAAAGTACTCCAGAATATGTTTTTAATCTACGCACGCTTTTATTCGTTTGTTAACGATAAACTGGTAATAGGTCAGTGGGATATTTGACTTAAATTTAGGAATTTTGACATTCTTAATTTTTTGGTATTTTTATTTGACTCGTTTAAAAGTAAATTGTCTATTATTTATTCTCTGGGAAACAATGTAAAGTCATTTTTTAGAGAACACCTTAAATACTTTTGAGTACAAGTAAGGTGGAATAGAAAATCTTGATAACAGAGGCCACAAAAATTTGTTTCTCTTGATGCGTCACTGACTGACGAGAATGACAATGAGACACTGCAAACTACAAATGTAATAGTATGAATGTAATAGTTTATTTGTTCAGAATTATTTTGTTTAATTCCGCTGTTATTAGTGTATATGTGACTGCCAAAACTCGAAGATTGACCACCACTATTACTACCAAAAGTTCCACAACCTTTCATATTAGCCATCAATCTCCGACTGTCACTCGGTCCACTGATCTTCTATGACACGCGTTTCACTACTAAACAAGGCATTTTTAGGCAAATTATTAAGATCGCTGCTCGAAGTCTAGTGTTAAGCGTTCGAAGGTTTTCATTTCGCAGTTTGGATGTGAAATGGAATATTATTAAGGATTACAAACACATAAATTGTCCTGAAATCAAATAGTTTCACGAGTAAAGGAACCTATCTCCGTAAAGCCACAGATTATATATTATTATTATAGTCTGTTTAATTTTTTTTTAATTATTAAAAAGTATAATGTCTTTTGTCTATTTATTACTAGTTTTTACCTGTGATTTCGTTTGCGTGACGGGGATATGTTTAATGACTGGCATAAGAAGCAGCATATATCCTTCTCCATTCTATTTAATACGTTTGTTCCAAATTTCATAAAGCTTAATCAAGTTGTTTAAAGCGTTAAAAGATAACAAAAAAAAAACAAATTCACTTTTACATTTATAACGTTAAGTAATGATGTTGGTTTTTAGTATACATATTCAAATATTCATAAAATAGCTATTCAAGAACCCCAAAATTATTATTTCATTTCTTGTAAGCGCACGAACTTTTGCAAAATACACCAGTCATTTTCGATTCGCCAACAAATAAATGAACAAATTTCTATATTTAAAACGATTTCGAATGTGACAATGAAGTCAACCGGCAATTTAGCGCGGGAGGTTTGGTAGATTGGAACAAAAAAGCGCGAGGTGACAATATAAATAACAATTTGGCCCACCCCGTTCGTATGTGGTTCGTCGGATTAGCATAAGAATGCCGCATCACGGACGCCCACGACCCTACACTGTCCCTCGTCTTGTTGTCTCTTTATACCTCGAATTTAATTTTGATTTACGACTATCCAAACAATTGTACGCAAAACGTTCTTTGACTGTCCCAATGAATGAGCACAATGTTTTAACAAATAGAAAATAATTAAAGTTATACAAATATCTATCAAAAATCTATCTATGGCTATTAAATGATGCAATTCATATATATATAATATTATGTCAACTACAAATTTTAAATCAATGTTGGTTGCTTGTTAAAACTCTAATCTCTTAACATTACGGTCAAAACCAATTTGGAACTTCTTCGTTTAAATTTCGTAATAACTTAATTAATAAAGGCAAAGGCGCGATACAAATATATCATGACCGGCATTAATGCCGATACAGAGCGCTTCCTAAGATTCTTATGCTAATATTGGCAAAAATAACTCAATAATTAATTGAGGGTTGGGTTGCATTTGACATATTCAAGCATTAAAATAATATATGAGGGTTAATCAGATAGCCTAATTATATTAAGCAGGTCGTAATTTAAAGTTTTATTTGTTTTTCGGCAAAAGGGTCCCTTTATTTGTTATAAAAAAATGAGTAATTAATTAATTTACTGTAAGTAGGTGTTTACGCATCATTTGAAAACAATGATTCGACAGTATATTAGTTATGGCACTAATGTGATTTTGATGAGGGGGCTCAAAACTGATCCTATTTTGCAGCAAATGTTGATGTCTTATTTAACAGAGGTTAAAGTGATGATGATTTAAGTTATGGTGATTAATGTGTTTACTCATCGCCATCAGCAATATAACAACTATTGATATTAAGATTAAATTGGAAAAATATTCGAAGGATAAATAATATACCTAATGCATACGATAATTTAAATAAATATATTTTTTGTGCGTGTTAGATGATAAACTAATAAATGTATTTATATCCAAAAAAATAAACAAATAATAAACGACTGTGCTCAGTGTTAATACGCATTTAAGATAATATATTTTTACCACACAAAAATAAATGTCCACCTAATAAATCGTGTCGGACCTTATCGTCTTTCGAGAGGCGACAGTAAAACCCGATAAGGATATGGGTCCCTACGGTTCAAGATCTCTCTGTGTGTTAACTTTTTCGTTTACGTTTAGGTGATCGTATCTTTTGGTGGCAATACTTTTGTGCCTGTTGGATTGGTTTTAGAGACTCGGGTTATGTCTGAACGCGCGCGAGCTGAGCGTAATCGGCGTTGCATCTTAATTTAGTTGTCTTGTATTGTGGGAGGCAGCGACTGGATGTGGAACATAACCTAACCCACTGTGAAGGCCCAGTAAAGGACGCCGGGCCGACTGACGCATACGATACATCCTCATATTTATTACACAGGACAGTAAAAAGGAATTTATGGACTTAATTGGGTAGATTATTCTTTATAGAACGTACCTATAGCTATATGTGTATATTTAAAATTGACTTACCACATTGACGAACTCCTGAAATGTGATTGCGTCACTGGTTGCACTTCGAGCTTTGTCCAGAAGAATCTGAAAAAAGGTAGATACCTATAGTTATATATTTAATATATATTTTTTAAATTTAGAGATAAAGGTTCAATTGAAGAAGACTTTTGTTATTGTTAAGTAGAAATACTAAATAGGTATTATAATAATTTTTAGGAAAAAATAAAAAGTAGGTATTAATTACACAAATATATTTTTTTATGAACACATTAAACCAGTGGTCCTAAACTAAAATATTGATATTGACATAATATAAATAACTTAAGAGAGAGGATTTGACGCTACAGCTCAAATCTAGTAGAACTTTTTTTTTATACCACTGAGGTAGCAAACAAGCATACGGCCCACCTGATGGTAAGCGGTTACCGTAGCCTATGAACGCCTGCAATATCAGAGGCATTACGCGCGCGTTGCCGACCCTGAAGAAACCTCTTTACCCCCCTTTTGAAGAACCCCATGCTGTATTCTCTTGGGAAAACCTCGGCAGGGAGCTCATTCCATAACCTGAGTGTTCGTGGGAGAAAACATTTCTGAAACCGCATTGTACGGGACCGTTTAGGTTGTAAGAACACAGCCATAGAACTTCGTAGTCGTAGAATCTACAGAATACATGTTTTAGCGAGCACAGAAACTTTTAAATGTATAGAGAGGATCTTCACATTTATTTCATAGATATTGCATTTATTCAGACGCAGAATTATGTTTATTTTCCTCGTGTATACGACAAAGAAGTCGAATTCGCTCCCTATATCCTTTATGAACAGGCTATTCATGAACCTGCGAGCTCCTTGTTTGACCTTATCGTTACTTCCCATCAGCAGAACTCAAGGTCAGTAACAGAATAGTAAAAAAATATTATTTTGAGTAACTTAGAAGGACAAAAAAGCTGACAACTTTTTTTACAACATCGCCCTTTGTTAAGATAAAGACGTAGACTAACTATAAAAATTAATAGTCGTTGAGATAGGTAAGTAAATAATTACCTACCTCTCTTTTGTGTGGTGGTATCTGTGCTATAAAGTCCGGATTCTGTAATGTTTGTTGGAAGTCGGGCCAAGGGATTTCGCCGAAGCCTTCTGGATCGAACTGCAACAATATCACATTTCCTATAACGGTCACGCACAAAATGTCGTAATATCAACGCCATCCGAAACATCATGATTGTTCACCTTCTTCACACATATTTATTCATATTTACTTTATTTCCATTCGTTTCCAAAAAGAGTGGTACAAAAAACTCGAAGCGCCCCTATCTCCTACCTCACATTATCTCAATGTTCCGTACGTGACGACACACCGTTTGATCCGCGGCGCTACCGACTCTTTTTATCTGCTTTTAAAACATTTTATATCCCGCTTCTGTACATTTTAATCAGTCAAAAACAAAACTTTATTCTTTGAAATTTGTTTATATCGCACCCGACAGTTTTTCTGAATTATGGATATCTCTTTAGTCTACACTTATAAAGTGAAAAGATTTTAGTGTGTATGTATATTTGTAATGAATAAACTCAAAAACTACTTTGCCGATTTCAAAAATTCTTTCACCATTAGAAAGCTACATTAACCCTGAGTAACATAGGCTATATTTATTGCTAGAAAAGATTAGGGATCCTTACTAAAACTTTAGTAACGTAACTCAAGGTGCGTCACGTGCGCTGCGGAAACTATTGGTGATAGAATATTCTACAATATTGAAGAAAATATCAATAACTACAAAAATCTTCCCATACTATATGTCCAACTATTATCGTTATGTCACAATAACCACTTTTTAAAATATTGTAAAATTGTCCACCCGTGCGAAGCCGAGACAGGCCGCTAGTAATATTATAAAGACGTACCTACCTATTCGTTTTTTTGTATGTAAAGAGTAAGCTTTAGATGTAATCAACCGGTTCTAAAGGAACCATATACCTATTATATATGATATAACATGTATATATGACATATGGTAGATATAAGAGAGTATTCTGTGACATTCAGGGTGCTGTTCATGTGTATAAACAACAAAACAAAGAACTAAGATTAGCAGTAATTTTGAACAGATACGATATTGAAACTTCCAAAAAACAGCATATAAAAAGCCGGAAATACACCTATTGCTATTTCTTTGATTTTGCGAGTGCGTATGGGCGTTGGTTTTCGCCATTAAGTGAGTCGCATATTCGTTGGTCTTATATGTTATATAAAAAAAACTTCTAAAAAATTAAGATATTTTACATAAAATAAAATAGTATACTTAATGAAGATTTGTCATTTAGAAGAAAACATCTCTATCATACGTAAAATGAAAACAATTGTTGGCTATATATATACACATATATATATAATGGCTAATCCGGCCTTAGTACTAAATAAAATCTATGCAATGCTAGCAATGGGGCTGCTAAATCTCATTACTCCCTCTCTCATTACTCCTTCTCATTACATCACCGGAGGGAGACTTTGTACATAAGTCGATTGCTTGGGTACCTCTGTCCCATTCGTGTTTCAACCGTAAAGCATTTGTGTTTGCATGGCTGTGTTTCGGTTTAAAGAGTGGGATATGGCGTGAATTTACTGGGTACAGAGGAATAACACCTGCGTCCTCAGGAATGGCAATGCATGGGGGGTATCATGGGCGAAACAGTATACTCTGTTATGTCCATGTTACTGCTCATGTCAATAGGCAATGGTTACCACTTTCCACCAGGTGGGCCGTCAGCTTGTTTATGATTCAAAGTTGTATAAAAAAAAATTACTGACATTCCCTTTCCTCCCAATCTAAGATATTAGGGTATAAAATAATACTATTAGTATTTAGGTACAAGTAAATTGTGGTAATGGAAGTAATAAATAAAAAATGACATTACAATAATATAATGGCTAAATAAAGTTATTTACTATCCACTTTACGAGTTTCAATAATAGTATATTATGTACTTGTGATGCAAAAAGCATACAGGAATATTATTACTTTATCATTTCATATGGGGGTGGAAATACCTGGTACCGGCACAAAAAGAAAATATCGCACGTGATATCTGTGTTGGCGGTGTGTTAACAATTTATATTTTACGCCAACAGGTCACGTCGCGGCCCTCTATATAAAGAATATAATATTTTTTGCTGACATGTGGCAAAAAATTCTGATGATCTGATGATAGTGTTATAAATACTCACCCTATCGAATAAGAGGCGCCATTTCTGAAAAAAAAATACATGTCTTTAATATTACATGTTTAATAATAATAAATTAAATAATATAAATTTAATTAATAATATTATAAATTTGCCATACAAAAATATTTTTTAATGGCGACCCTGTACCGGCAAACGCAGTGTAGTACAATCTCCCATTAAATGGAGTGGCGTGACGACTTCAAATGTATCGCAGAAAATCAGTGGATGTAGGTGGCTTAGGACCGTTTCTTATGGCAGTTTATGGGGGAGGCTTATGTTCAACAGTAGATGGATAATGGCTGATATGTTGATGATGTATATATCCACACGTATTTCTTCCTTGAAGTAGTTGTACTTTTATGAGTCCGTTTCGGTTTAAACAGTGAGACATAGCAGTGAAAGTAAAGAGTAAGGTGTACGCTACGAAATTATGTATAACACTTCAGAATTTTCTGGAATGGCAATGCATGAGGCTATTGTAGTTACTTTATTATGTATTCTGTGATTTATTTGGTACTGTTCGTGTCAAAAGGCAACGGTTACTACTTTCTGTCACGTGGGCTGTATGATTGTTTGGATCTTATGTTTCATGAAAAAAATCAATAACTCACATCATGCATCAACTCCCGTCTGATCTCTGCTTCATCCAACTCTGACCCAAGATCGGTGTGATCTGTATCATATAATGGTTCTGCTGCCCGGGAAAGTGAACCGAGGGAGTCCCGGGCTGACGCGAGTGATCCCGTGACAGTAGGCAATACTCCGGCTTCAATCCCGGACTCCATAGAGGTGTTGGTAGAGAGCAATGTGGTTGTGGCGGCGGGCGGCACGCGGACTTCGCGACCGCCGCCGGCGCACCCACTGCCCACCCACACCGACATCTCGCCAGCAACACCATCCACACTATTGCAATATTCACTATCTATTGCAATTTGTCCCACATTCGCATTGACTCGTTGTTTTCTTTTTTTTTTTATTTAAATATAGAAGTCTTTAATTTTACGCTTCATCTGGACAGATATGATGGAATCGAATTCGAATGGACGTTCTCTCTGGACTTTTGAATTTACTTAATTATTAATTGGAATGGAGGAAGAATATAAAGGCACGTAAGTTTGGCTTGGCTTGTACGACACACCTGGAATAAGAAAGACATTTCAAACATTAATGAAAAAGGGAGAGAGAACAATTAGCTCGCATTTAACACGAGCAATCGAATATATTGAATTATTAATGTTTACTATAGACGAGGTCATTCAATTATTCTAGAAGCGGGAATAATAAACCGAGCACAGCAATAAAACCGAATCCCCCTAAGTTGAGTATTGGCAAAAAATGTTTGTTGTTTGTGATTCGTGGGGTGGCAATAGACTTTCTTAAGAGATTCAAGAATGGTATAAAAATTTAACGATGCATTATAGTAAATACCTAAGTGCTTTTTACTGATTGTTATATAGATACTTAATACATCTAGGTAATAAGAACTTTGCGGTTCTGTTGTGCGAGTCTATTCAGCTGTTAATCCTGATAGAAAGTGGTGACAGATGAAAATGTCACCAGTCGCCTTTAAACCACTTCCGTATTATGTTATATATAACATAGTATGTTCATTTAGTATTACATTATCAACCTTTAAGAAAGATTATTTACTAATACAGATAATTGAACAGGTTTTAATGAATTTGCTTTACGATGAGATACCTACAGGTTTGTTTTTATGCTAACTCATGCGAGCGAAGCCGCGAGTAACAACTTATATCAAAATAAACTTTAATAGTCAAAATGAAATTACTTAGTATTAAAATTGACAATCAACTGAGGAAGGGCAACGTGAGCAAAATACTTCGTAGTGAAGGGCCTCAACCCTCACGACGTTGCCGTAGCAACGAACCGCAATTTCATACCCCACTTAACAAGACTGGCTTATTCAATTCGCACAGGTTACAAATAAAGAACATAAAAAAATATATATAGTTTTGATATTATTTGGAATATGTTAATTAATAATTTTAAGAAATATTTCAATAGGAAGGAAAATGATCATTATAATGTATCTACAGCTTTGTAAACACTAGTTGCATGAAGCAACATTAGTCACACAGAAACAACAAATACTCAACAAATAATATCTTTAATTTTTATTATTATTTTGCAGAAAATGTCCTATAAATGTTTTAAAAATAGTAGAAAATTTTATATTTTCTAGGTAAGCTGGGTAATCCCTATATTTAAAACAATATTGTGATTCTGTTATGGTATTGTTTTGTATTACAAAAAAGATATTCTGTGCTACCCAAGAATGTGTGTATTATAATTACGATTATATTATAAATATACTAATAAAATTATATAATATAATTATGTATTTAAAATTTATTTTTATTAATACTCAAATTTTTTACATAATTTTATGTATTTATATTAAACATTTTTAACATAATACTTAAGATAGAACTAACTGAAACATTCAACGGTTTTTCAATTTGTTTACATTACACAGTAGTCAATGACAACAAACTCATAATGCCCCTCCAACATAACCAACTACTTACCTTTGTAATTTCACTAGTTGTCACATATCACTATCATAAGGGATACTTCACACAGGACTTCATTTCCAAAATATAAAACATTTCGTGTCAAGAACACATTAGGCCGAGGAAACCGGTGGACATTAGCTATATGTCAAAACACGACGTGTTCGAGTGAAAGTGGAAATGGCGTCCGTATTTCAGCGCATGCGTTAGTTCAGAGCGGTCACGAGGGTGCATGCCTTGAAATATAAATGCAAGAAGCCCCTTTGCAGTGGTCGCTACTAAAAATATAGTGATAGGACCTGCATTAATGGAGAGTCACAAGGGATCATTGCCCTTTTAACATGTATGAACATGATGTACGTTTTGAAGTCCGTAACAGTACCCATCTCAACTAATTAATTTAGGTTGCTATTTATTAAATACCAGTGTTCTCCCCCTGCTTCGCAGTGGTAGATAGACAGAAAGAAAAACTAATGTTTTATATTAGCTCTAATAGTCAAATTTTTGATACGTTATGTTATTGTAGTGATTTCGTAGCGATCTATATTTTTTTTTAAAAGTCTATCTTATTGCTGATGAACTTTCTATAAGTGAAAGTGTTTTTTTTTAAATCGGTTTAGTTGTTTTTGAGTTTACTATTATGAATAAATAAACAATCAGTCAAAAATTTCCTCTCTATAGTAGTATTATACATGTAGATGGATATGTTGTTTTTGTATTGTACATGTATTTAGATAACTACTTAATTCATTTTACTTTACGAATTATGTAAAAATGATTAGGTCAGATTGTATTGTCGATTAAATAGATGGGTATATTTTTTAACACATGGAAATGGAGCAGTAGTCCTACATGCTCATTAATACATACTGGCGATGTATACTGAAGGATGATAAGTGAGAATAACAGCAGGTCGGTTGGCTCATGGTGACAATTTCACCAGAAAATTACCATAATAGTTTCCAGAGGGGCACATGAAATTTAATACGCCAATAGGGTTCTAGTGAACATAGGCATATTTAAAGAAGGACCTGGTAGACCTTGTCCACCCCAGGATTGTGTGGTGCCCACCTTTGAATGCAAGCAGAGATTTCAATTATACGCAAAGACATGTGGCCGAGAATAAATATGTGCTTTTTTAAGGGGCCAGCATTCGTCTATTTAAAATTATTTTCATACCTCTCTTTAAAATATTCTTCAACAAGCCAATGCCATTGAGGGATAATAAGCAAAGGTTAAGTCAGTATTGCCAGATGGCCTATAGTATAAAATTTAAAGAAAATTAACTACGATAGTTTTTAAACACGGTCCCCATTAGAAACTATTGTATATAGGAAGTAATACAAAATATTAGTTAACATGGTACATTGCTAATAATAGGGCCGCTAGTTCTTGTACATAATAATACCGTCTCTCATTTAAATATTTCTAATGATAATAATTTTATTTTAAACTTATTTACTTATGTATTTAAAATTTAATTTTATTAATACACCAAACTTTTCACATAATTTTATGTATTTATATTTAACATTTTTTACATAATATTTAACATTGAACTAACTAAACCATTCGACGGTTATTCAATTTATTTATACTACTAGTCTATATTTTTTTTTTATTGGATGAAAATGGAATGATAACATAATACATTTGATGAGAATGAAAATAGGCGAATCATGATGAATCATCAAGAATTAACCATGATAGTTTCCAGTTATTCAATTTGTTTATTATTACTAGTCTATATTGGTAGTCAGTAACAACAAACTCATAATGCCCCCACAACATAACAATATATTTATGTAATAATTTGATAATAATTAGATCTATCTGCCACATTTTTTTGGATAGGTATCAAGTCAAAACAAAAATAAGTAATATTTTTAAAGAAATTCATGAAAACCAAAGGTTTATTGATCTTATTCTATTTAGAAATAAGATATTGATGTAAGTCTTGAAAAACTCACATTGTTTTTCTATTTTTCCATTAAATATACCAATATTGTACTAAATTGAAAAAGAAAACACCATTATAATTGTTTTTCTATTGTTAACTAAACGCCTACTTGTGTACTAATAGCAAAAAAATAACGGCTTTTATAATGAATCTAGTAATCTTGCAGTAATTTTAGACGTTTGTTTCTTTTTAATATATTTAAATAAATAAATGAGAATAGGAATGTGATGGGCTTATTATAGGAAGGTGCTATTAATTATTAAAACGTGTTATATCAAATCCTAATGATAAAATAACGTGTTGTAATATTTGATATGGCTGTTTAAGCATAGATCTTTCGCTTCACAGTATTAAAATAAAACATGAAGGAAGGAAATAAATGTCAAAAGCCATTGTGTTTGTTCTGACAAAATGTCAAGTTGACATCTGTCAAAACCTGTAATCTAACCAAAAAAGACTTGTTTTGATGTCGGATTCGATTCTATCGATCTAATCGAAACGTCTCGCCGTATTTTTATTATTATTCATTCAATTTTCGAAGTCATACGTCGTTAAAATTTCTGTAGGTATAAACTCAGACATCACTTATTTAAATTTTATGTTTTAGAATCTATAACATTTTATTTTTATTATGCCTACTGGCCGTGCCGTATTGTTGTTGCGAAGATTATCGTCTGGAGACAACAGATTTAAGAATCTCAATTTTAATCAGAATACAACCAAGGAACCGCTAGTTGTTAACCCAGTGTGCAGTCATCGTGATTTAGCCGTACCAAAAAGGTATTTATACCTATACTATTAGCAAATTACAAAAATAACAACATATTGAAGTGCACTAAAGTACGTTCTAGTAGGTGCTTTATTATTGTTGAAATGTCAAATGACCTTGTTTTTGTTTACATGTTTAAATGTACAAACAGATCGCCACAACATAGGCTGTACATTTATTATTGTTAACAATTCAAATTTGTATATGAAACGAAATTTATTAAAAGTTATCTGGGTAGATCTGTCGTCTTTGTTACATAATGCTATTTGACTGATGAATTGCACTAAAATAATTATCATACAATTTATAATTCTATATGAGATATAGTTTCATAAAGACCAATTTTGCTCAGTTAATATATACTTCCTGGATATTAAAAAAAATCTAAGGATCTTTTATGGATGTATCTACATTTATAAATATTTATTATATTTTTAATTTCTGGATACAGAGCAATTTAAAAGGTATTCCATTTTTAATAGTCTTTTTTTCCTCTAAATTATTATTAATAATAACAAAATATAGAAAAAAATTTATAGATTGATTGGATTGTGTGAAGTAATTTTATACTTCAAAAAGCTTCCAAGTAAGTTATATCCAAAAAATTATTATTAAACTTCACTGTAAAATAAAATATCATAGTCAAAAATAAATTCCACCTTTCAGTTATTACTAAGTTATCTTAATAACCAAATATATATACCCTCTAAGTGTATATTATTATATAACTAGTACATACATAAAGAATACAAAGAATTGTAGTAGGTATTTGTCTCTAAGAAGGACTTAATCATATTTTTACAATTAAAACCTTTACAACAAAAGACTTCTCCTAATTTTATCATTAAGTATTGATATAAAGATAATGCTATGTTTTTTATGGTTTAATATACTAAAGTATAAAAATATTTACTTTTTATACTGGTACAAGCAACTTCCAATAACTCAAGGTAATCTAAAAATGTAATTACATTATACAAGTATTCATGTAAAAAATTCTTACAATATTTGTCTGCAGGTTGTCCACATTTAGTCATAGTAACCTCCCAACACCACCATTGTGCAGAAGCCTTAGCGATAATATTTTAAAAATGACTAGTCCCAGTGCAGAGTCAAAACCATTGGAAAAATGTAAATACACAAACTGTTTAATCTCAGAAAAATCTCCATACCTACTGCAACATGCTCATAATCCTGTACAATGGTACCCTTGGTGCCAGGAAGCCATAGACAAAGCTAAAAAAGAGAACAAATTAATATTCCTATCTGTTGGTTACTCCACTTGTCACTGGTGTCATGTTATGGAAAAAGAGTCATTTGAGAATGAAGATGTTGCTAAAATTATGAATGAACACTTTGTCAATATTAAAGTAGATCGTGAAGAGAGACCTGATATTGACCGTGTCTATATGTTATTTGTGATGGCTACAAATGGAAGTGGTGGTTGGCCCATGTCTGTATTTTTAACTCCTGATTTACGTCCTGTTACTGGTGGCACATACTTTCCCCCTGAAGACCGCTGGGGTCGGCCAGGGTTTAAAAGCATCCTCTTATCTTTAGCCAAAAAATGGAAAGAGAACCAATCACAATTCCTAGAGGCAAGCATGAATATCATGGATGCATTACAAAAAATATCTATTGTTGATGGTGAAAATTCAACTTCAGTACCTGGTGAAGCTACTTGGGATAGATGTGTTCAAAGATATATGTCCAATTATGAACCAGAATTTGGTGGATTTGGAACAGCCCCTAAGTTTCCTCAGGCTTCTATATTTAATTTTCTCTTCCATTATTATGCTCGAGATAAATCCCATCCTGAAGGAAAGAAATGTTTGGAAATGTGCCTATATACTCTAACAAAAATTGCTAAGGGTGGTATTCATGATCATGTTTCTAGTGGCTTTGCCCGATACTCAGTTGACAATGATTGGCATGTGCCACATTTTGAAAAAATGTTATATGACCAAGCCCAACTTCTTGTTGCTTATACTGATGCCTTTTTGGCAACTAAAGATGAATTCTATGCTGATGTTGTGCATGATATTATAAAATATGTAAATAGAGATCTGAGACATGAATCTGGAGGCTTTTATAGTGCTGAAGATGCAGACTCTTATCCAACCACTGAAGCAACTCATAAGAAGGAAGGAGCATTTTGTGTATGGGAATATGATGAATTAAAATCAATTATTGGAGATAAAAAGATTAATTCCATCCCATATATGGACATATTTGCTGATTATTTTAGTATTGAAGAAGATGGTAATATTTCTCCCACAAGTGATCCTCATGGGGAGTTAACAAATAAAAATGTTTTAATTGTCTATGGTAGTAAAGAGGAAACTGCAAATAAGTTTGGTCTATCTATAGATCAATTAAACCAAGTGCTATCTGAATGCATTGATATACTGTACCAAGCTCGTCAAAAAAGACCCCGTCCTCATCTAGATAGTAAAATGCTCTGTTCTTGGAATGGTCTAATGATAGCTGGCTTGGCACAAGCAGGACAAGGCTTAGCAGAAAAAGATTATGTTGAAGATGCTATAAAAACTGCTCAGTTTATAAAAAAACATCTGTATGATCAATCGACACATACATTGTTGCACTCCTGTTATAAAGCTGAAGATGGTTCAGTTGCACAAACGTAAGTCTAAATATAAACACAAACTTGTAATATTATTTGACTATATTCCGATAATAAACAATAACTCTTACTAATATTATAAACATGAGTTTGTTTGGTACCATATATTGCCATCATGGCTTAACCAATCACTATGAAATTACACACACATATTATAGTGGATGGATAAGGATATAGGCTACTTTTTATTTTAGTTAGTAAACATATCCTGGTCATACGGACGAAGTGACGAGTAAAAGCTAGTAATACAATAAACTTAATAATAAAAAAATAGGCATTGAGACAGAATTGTATATTTTTACACATTTTTTTTTATTTTACAGCATAAATCCAATCAAAGGATTTCTGGATGATTATGCTTTCCTTATAAAGGGTTTATTGGATTTATATGAAGCCTCTCTTGATCTCGGCTGGCTGAATTGGGCTCGAGAGTTGCAACAAACACAGGATAAATTATTTTGGGATCCTGTCAATAGTGGATACTTCACTTGCTCAGCAGAAGATAGCACTGTCGTGTTAAGACTCAAGGAAGGTAAATAAAATGTTAATTGTAGTCATTAATATGCCACTGTTTATTTTTTTATTTATTTATGCTTTATTGACCACATTACAAAAAAATGTCTGGTACAAAAGGCGGACTTAATACTATATAGCATTCTCTCCCAGTCAACCTTTGGCTAAACAGAAATTTTAATATGCGGTGAAAAAAATTACAACACACATACAATAGAGATTATATAAATATACATACATGAATATATTAAACAAATATTACATAAATATACAAATATGTAATAAAAATACATATATACAAATATAAATATACATATATAAATATACCTACTTATAGATTATATACGATAACTGTTATGTAGGGGTCTTATATCATTATCTTACTGGCCAGGCGGTTTGATATGGGTTTTTTCTTACATATCTTGCATCATTTCTTTATTCATTCTGTAATTGATAGAAAATGGTGAACAATATTCACCATATGGATATGTTATTCTATATGTTATACTGACCTAGTATCTACAAGTAGATTTTGCTTCGTTACAAACGATTATTTTGTGTTACAGAGAAAACTGCATCAATTGTCACACAAAATGAGTAAACCCTATTAGAAAAGATTTATCATAATTTGTTTGAAATTGATTGTTTTCGCGTAACATGTAAAAAAAAAGTAGTCTAAATTTTTTTTGTTTAAATTGATAATCTACACTTAAAAGTATATATTAAGAAATAAAATATTTGTTGAAATAATATTTTGTTAATATTATTAACTATGAAAAATTGTAATTGGTGTTTGCAATTTATAACTCTTTAATTTTTATATTTTATTTATTATTATGTTTTTGATACTGGTTAACACCTAAAATGTATATTTGGTGCATTTGTAGACCAAGACGGTGCTGAACCATCAGGGAATAGTGTGGCATGTCATAACCTTCAACGGCTTGCCGCCTACGCGGACAAGAGTGCCGCGCCAGAAGGTGGAGATCACGAGAGGGAAATGGCGAAGCAATTGCTCCTCGCCTTTTCCAAACGACTCACCGCGTCCCCCACGGCACTTCCAGAGATGATGTCCGCTCTCATGTTTTATAATGATTCTCCAACACAGGTTCGTTAATTAATAGATATTTGCACGATTCGTTTCTGGTATATTGAAAGTTCTAAAAAATGTTCTAGTTTTCTACCTCGTTCAGGTTTTAGCATTAAGATAAACTCTACATAAATAAAATAGGGATTGTAAATAGTATGTTTTTAAAAAGCGTTTTGTATTAATATTTATGTATGGTATTATCATATTCATCATCATCATATTTATACCCTTTAACTGTCCACTGCTGAACATAAACCTACCCCTTGAAGAGTTTTGCCAGTATTTGCCACGCTTGGCAGGCGTATTGGCAACAGCAGTCAGGCTTTGAAGATGTTTTAAGAGTAATGCTGCCGATGCCTTGCCTTCCCTTAGTCGCCTCTTACGACACCCGCGAGAAAGGATGGGGTAGTCCATTCTATGCCGGGACATAAAACAAAAGCTAGAACATTGAACCATTTTTCGTTTAGTTTAGACTATAAACGCTAGCAGGATACCAATAAGAGATAATTTATGCAGATGGAGCGTCGTTATATACTTACGCCTTTTACTTTTTGGGGTAGGCAAAAATTACAGACTACCACTTAAATATAACATATTGATATTCAGGTGTTGATATCGGGCGGGTGCAGCGACCCCCGCACGCTAGAGTTGGTACGCGTGGTGAGGTCGCGGCTGCTGCCGGGCCGCGTGCTCGCCGTCGCCGACCCGACCGCCGAGTCGCCAGCCGGTATGTCCGACATACGTGAGTCTCACAATATACTATGTGACTCATGTAGTTAGTTCTAATACTTTCATGCTCACTTATTAATCATGTATATACATATACATTAGCGCTTGCCGCATATTTGACTAGTAATTAACCTGCATTTTACTTCATGTTTTTGTTTGAAGTTTCCGGAGTGTGCTACTATATCTCAAATACATTAACTTACCATATTAATATCTGGAATTTTTATTGAAATGGTAATTTTTTGCATGTATCGAAAAAGCAAAACCTAGCAAGCCTTTTCTATCGGTTGACGGCTTTTTAAAATGCTTAGGCTTATTATTTGTTTGATGTCCATAAAATTTCTATTATTTATTCTTTTAGTGCTTTTTTTTTTAATGGGTGACGATGGATTGATAACCCTGCCTGCGCTATTGGTATACGCTGATAGTGTATCAGTAAAGAATGACAGGTGAGAATGAAAGCAGGTCAGTTGGGTATTAGTGACCAATTCAACAATTTTACCTATTACTAACAATCCCTTTCCCCCTATTTTCAGTGTTAAGCCGTATCAGATCGGCGGGCGACGTGCCTACAGCTTACGTGTGTCGACGTTATGCGTGCTCGCTCCCCGTCACTGACGTGAAACAACTGGAAAGCTTGTTAGATGAAGCGCCAGCCACCACATCAACAAAAAGCAAATAATTTTCACTTTAAATATATATATTTTTTAATATATTTATGTAGTTCTTACATGAATATATATATTTATGAATGTATATATATATTCGATCTTGTTAATATTGTTATTTTGTTTTCATGTCACGTGTTCTTATGTATCAATATTTTTATTTCATGAATATGTGTTTGCGTTTATCGTGTCCCCAGCGACAAAATGTAAGTAACCAAAATGTGGTATAATTTAGATGAGTAGTCGTAATTTAACAGATGAACAGTACAATTTTAGATCAGTGAATGTTTTATTCCTTATTTATGTATTTACTAGTCATTACAAATTAGATACCACGCCTGTCGGATCTGCGGTAATTGGCTGAAAATTACGTTTTATTGTTATAAACATGCCTCTATATCACGTAATTTTAATAAATGATATTTATTTATTTATTCATTAGTACAAATATGTGTACATGGCAGACTTAATGCTAAAAGCATTCTCTACCAGTCAACCATAGGGAAGTGTCAGAATATTCGAATGCGGTACTACTAATTATTGATATACATTTATTTATTTATTTATTTATGCTTTATTGACCACATTACAAAAAAAAATGTCTAGTACAAAAGGCGGACTTAATACTATATAGTATTCTCTCCCAGTCAACCTTTGGAAAAACAGAAATTTTATTATGCGGTGAAAAAAAAAAATTACAACACATACAATAGAGATTACATACTAAAATTACATATATAAACGAATAAATATATATGAATAACAAATATACTTACACATATATGACATATACTATAGTATACAGGAAATTGAGAATAATATAAAGCACTTACTGCTCGGATAAAGTAAAAAAGTGAGCGTGGACGTTTTGTTATGAAATAAGATATATTCTTGTAAGTACTTACTTTTTCATACTTTAATAGTTATTTAGTCGAAATCAGTTAAAATTTGTTCTACTAATAAAATGTCATGAAGTAAGAATACTACTTACAAAGTTTTTGTAAATAACAAGACAATATATGTTAAAAAACATATTCCTATATTTTATGTTAATTAAAAGTGATATTTATCTCTGATATTTTTGACAATTTCTAAATAAATAGAATTGGATAGTGCTCAGTCGATAATGACAACATTGAATATATTTAAATAGATTTTAGGCATTTTTCTTCACAATATAAAAAAAAATACTATTGTGATAAGAATCTTTCTAGCTGATGTAAATATCCATCAGTTTAATATTGTACTTCTAAATTATATTCATGCCTTGTGCCATATTTTAATAAAGACAAAAATAAGGCCTGCTTGAGTGCAAACGCCACGGTATGCTCATAATACCAGTTGCCAGTAATGTCCATTCGCGCATTGCCTATCCTTATGAGTACTTATGACTCAAGTCATTTTACTGTTCTTCCTACAGTTTAAATATCGAAGAAAAAAAGAAAATCGCATAAGCATAGCAGCATAAACAGGTAATAGTACCGACTTCATACAAAAAGGTCTTTATGCAACTAAGGTTTTACGAGGCATCGTTTCTCTGTTGCCGAATGTCAGTTACTATTAACTTTTTAATTCATAACATGACCGACGAATCTTTATTTCAGGATCTATGTAAATTTTAAGTTATTAACCATAATATTTTGCACTTCAAATTCGTAATTGAGAAATCTAAAAACATTTATCAAGGAGTGATTTGGAAATATTTAGGCTGATTAGTAGAGATAGCAAAATAAATATAATAGTATATAGATTATTTTTTCTCAATTTTATTGACAGAATGTCATCAAATGACGTCGGAAAGATTCTCATTTCATTTATTATTTATTTATATTAATGTAAATTAGCTTGAAGCAAAGTTTTGTGATATTTTACTCGAAATATAGAATTATACATAAGTGGTATTTTATTGATTTCACCCCTTGACTGAAATTTTAGTTATTTGCATACAAATTTTTGATTCAGTAGCACTCTCTCCTTCTATCTTTGATTTGATAGGAATCTCTTGGAGTAACAATGCAAAAAAGAGACAGTTACTAGGTTCCAGATGTAGCATTTTTGCACCTTTTGGTGGGAATCAAAATGGAATTTGGTCGCCTTGTTTATACTTTAATTGGATTTTCAACTTAGTTTAATTCTAAATGAAATAACGATGTAATTCATAATAGTATTTTATTCCATAAATCATACCTACACGAAGTGTATGTATGATATTTAACATTCAAACAGAAGACATCATCGGTGAAAGGTTTGTTGATTAATCTAATGAACAATTAATTTAAATATTAATAATCATGTCATTGGAATATTTATGTTAATGACTGACAAATATGATTGATTGAAAATAGAATTGGTTAATTTTTTTTTTTTTGATGTAATGTTTCGAGTTTGTTGAAAAAATGTCCCAATTAATAATTCAATTAAGAACATTAAATACTTAGGTGGTATAATCATACAGAACGTTAAGTGAACATTGAACTAGAATAAAGGTCAGAAAACAGGCCTAAGATAACAAAAAACATTTACATAAAAAATAATCCGTAAGAAATTTATAAAAAAATATTTTTGGAGCATAGCCTTATATAGGTGTGAAACATTGAAGCATACCGAATGTGGACATGGAGTAGAATGGAAAGGATAAGTTGAACAGAAAAAGTAACGAATGCGCAAATCTTGAAAAAGGTGAATGAGAAAATAACATTAATAAAAACAATAAAGAATAGAAGAGGTAAAATGCTGGGCCACCTTATAGGAAATGACGATTTTTAAAGGAGAAAGGGGAAGACCAATAACTACATGAGACAGATAAAGGAAACACTAAGTGTCATGTCGTATTATAGGAGGTTAAGGATATGGTCTAGTATAGAGTTGGCTGGAAGAAGATGAAGGAATAAGTTGCACCGACGAGAGGAAACTCTTAAATGAAAAGAATCATTTAATAATTTCACATCTACGTTACGTGTTTACAACTTGGCCGTCAGCACAAACAAATATTATCACTTTTATACTAAGATCACTCTTGTTCGAAGTTGGCAACACAAGTAATGTTTTCTAAGAAATTACATGAGCTTTAGAAATCTATACACACTGAAATTAAAAAGAAATTCCTAGCATCCCTGTATGTCAGTGTCATATAAGTGAAACTAAACACTTTTTTTTCAATCGAAAACGATAAAAAAATTAAATTCATTCACAAACAGGATATCCTGCTGCCAAACTAGTAGAATAGAACATATAGAAGTCTTTATATTTGACATTTTTAGGATCATGTTTCGTTTGGTTTAAAAAAATATTCATGTTCATTGGTAGAACAAAATTTCGTACTGTAAAGTTAATAAATCAATTTTCTTAAAAATCCATGATTTTCTTTACTAAAATATATTAAAATTTAATAAAATGAAACCAAAAGATTTTTCCATTCAACCAGATCTATCAGTCTCACATTAGTAAGTATTCATTTCTTTCTTCATTTAATTGATAAGATTGTTATTAAATAACAATATCATGATTATCAAATTTAAACAACAACAACGGGATAATTTACAATTTTTTTTTTTATATTTTTTTCATACATTACCTGTTTTATATTTTTTTTATTACATGTATTTAAATTTTAAACACCATTTTAAATTCTATATACCTATATAATTATGAAGGATAGTATACACATTTATTTTTTTACATTTTGATTAAAAGTATTCAGAAATTAAAATTGACTGCTTTGCCAACCGTACCTCTGTGATGTCGTATATTAAGAATTCACATTGTTCTCAACATCTCTAATGAAAGATACAGTGAAGCCACCGGATGAGTATGTAAGTACATATCCAACATCTCCCCCATCTATCATCTCATATACTTCCGTATAATCATAATTATTTTGTATAATTTATTTTTCAATTGATATATTTTGTAAACATCTAGTTACGTTCTTTTGGCGAAAGAAAATTATATCTTATATAAAATTATATCCAATGTAATCCGTGCTTTTATACGTATACAATGTATAGAAAAACACGGATATTCGAATAGTTATAGTACATAGTAGAAAACAGCTATATTACTTGAGATGTCCATAATATACATATGGTTGTTTTCTGCACAACCAGTTTCAATTTTCCATTGATCTGTATAAATAAAACAAGGACTCTTAAGATGCATGCAGACAATACTGGTGGAACATAATGATACCCATTTCTCTGTCCTAACAAACACGGGTAACAGATGGCTGGTTCTCGAGTGGATACTGAAGCTTGACAGCCCGGAAGTCTCGATTCTGAGCTGTTTAAACGACGCATAAAAGCGTTATCAATTTATAATGTACAATTGATCGAGATTCGACATTCTGTATATAAGAGTCAACGTATCGTCATAGTCGTAGAACACAGACGGATCTTTATATGTAATCTTTGTCAGATCCGTCAGTATTCTACGACTATGACGATATATTAATATTAACCAGAAGCGACATCACAATTCATTGGAGGTGCGGATAATAAAGCAAATTGCCAACAATATAGAGATACAGTTAACAATGCACGAAAAATTGTATTAATTTATAGATAATAGCGAAATCGTTTCTCTATCACATTTTCATCATAGTATGGACTAATAGTTCAGATATTTAATTAGGCTCGGATCCGAATTACTAAATTATTAAATGCAACATAATTTGTAATATAATAGACACTAGCAAATAGTGATAAATTTGTTCGAAATTATTAAATACAAAATTTTAGCTCCACGATAAAGTAAACAATGTTGTGACTTGCTGATTTTAAAGCTAATCCGTAACCTATTTCCTTAAAAATAAAATCCACGTTGCAATTATCCTAAGGGTAAACGCAGACTAACAGAGCATTCATAACGAATTAGTTATTTCGTCGCTATGCTATCAATCAGCGCTAACCTTAAGGCCAATTAATAAAAACGTCAACCAGACTTTCATGTTTTTAGGCCAATGAAAAAGAGTGGAGACAACCAAGAATATACTATAGAAAACAAAGTATATTGTTACCCGTGTCCCTACTCCTTTCCATTCCCAGAATACCTAAAGTACTAGGGATATATTCGAAACAATGAATAGACAAATAAATATAGTAACCATAATGTTCACTCTTTGCTAGTATCTAAATTTAAGCATTCAATCAATAAAATTATACTACATCCAGATATAAATCCATACAACTAACTACATTTTAATACAAGTCATAAATATTAAATATCACATTAAGCTAATGTCAGTCATATAAGGTTACAATCTACTTAAACCCATCTATGTTAGATACACATGAGATAATTATAACATAATATTAATTAAAAAAAAGAAAATATCCAATCAAAAATAATATTTATAAACAATAATAAATAATATATATCCACAAAGGTAAATTTACCATTGCAATATTAAAGTTGTAAAATTATAATAAAACTGTAACTAAATGATGCCTGTATATGGCAGATATTCAAGAACTAAATAATACGAGGGGTATTATTGGTAATAAGACCAATAGGTACCAAAAAACAATAATTTTCTGAAATTTTGTCTGCCTGTCTGTATGTTTCCGTTCCAGCGTCATACAAAAACTACTGCTCCAAATTGGATACGATTTGCACAATTATGCTCGTGAAGGCCTAACTTAAGAAATTTACATATATCAAGTATGTTTTATATTGATACAACATACATAAGTTCTGAGGTCGACCAAAGTGTCACTTGTTATTCAATAAACTACCACAAACCAGTAATAAGATTTATATATCAATTTATTAATACAAAGTTAAATAAAGTAATACCCCGCCGACAAATAGGAAGCCATCTTATTACATAAAATTATGTTATGGTCCACTAAAATAACAATAAACAAATACAGCACCTGAAATATTTTATACTCGATCAGTATTAACATCTGATGAACTAATAGAATAGCATTACCCTATTCCGCAGACAAGTTACATTATGCTCATGTGTATTTAACGGTACAATCAAGTGTATTTTACAAGCTGTATTCACAATAAAAAAAAATCAGACATTCTTTCCAAAATAGGCTTCATTGAAATGCATATAAGAGTTGTAGCGAGGTAGATTGAAATGTTTGTTCTGATAACCAATATAAGTAACTATACGAACACATAACACTATTTCACACATACAGCAATAAAAATGTATAGCAATGAAATAATTAAATAAAATAATAAAAAATTATTGATATTTATATTGAATAATTATTTGAAATTCAATATAAGCAATAGAATGATATCATTGTGAAATATACCTTATACTATAGTTTAAAAAAAAAATTGTATCATTAAAAATAATAAGATTGATGAAATATTGTAGTATATGTCAATAAGTTGTTTAAACACTGTTTTATATTTAATTATAGAGAATGTCTAAACAGGATTAATTTTAAAGGGTATATCAATCCGAAAGCCAGTAATAATATCGATAAAACTGAAAACATCCCCAAGGAGCATAGTCGGAGCGCGAAAATAGTTTTTGAATCAAACATACAAATTGCGCGATTACGTTTACGATTTAGTAAATTTTCAAAAATTATTTTCAGGCTTAATATAAATTCTGAATGAGTGAGATAAAAGTATCCTAATTATATTCTAGTAGAAACATGTCAAAGTTTATTTAAATTCCTTCAATTATTTGAATGTAATTGAGTAGAATGTTACTAACTCAACTACACTAAGAATTTTAAAAATCAAATATAGAAATTGTAGGATTTGGACTATGTTATTTATGGAGTTATTGAGAAAATCAGCCAGTTTCATGTATACTATCCCTGACTTTCGACTCGTATACCCTTTACGACTAACACCGTACGTCATAATTACATTAAAGCTTAAGACTAACAAATTCGTGAATAATTCCGCAGAAAACATCAAAATAGACAATCATTAAGATTTCCTTCAAACATCTAAGCACTAATATCACGAGAGGGAACATGACTTTTCTTTTGATTCAATTCAACACATCCAAAAGTATGCCTTTTCAATAACTACCTATTCATAAGCAAATCAAAACATCTGATACGTAAACATCAGAATATATGGTAATATGAATACATTTTTTTTTTAGATAAATGCCAGATAGATAGACAGATGTCGCCCTAAGATACATCACATTCGTACTCCAGGACAGTCTTGTGATAAAATAGAAGGTATCTGAAACAGAAATATAACATGTATAATTTTTATATATATAACATAATTAAAAATATTCCCGTAACAAATATGCAATCAAAGTTTTGGCGCTATTAGCAGCTCAGTTGGACGACACTTGATTGTGGTCTAGGGATCCCAAAATCGAATCCCACCATAACATACTGTTAAGAGAAATGTTATTATTTAAAAGAGATTAAGATGTTTACATAATTTATTTTACATAATCATATTATAAAGAAAAACACAGTGAGGTCTTACTAAATTTTATCGAATTTGATGCCGTTTATCCATGTATACACACGTAATAGATAGGAGCATACATTTTTTATAAATACCAATCAGTGACAACATAAAATATAAAAAAGTAGTAAAAAAAAAATACACACCCTTCACTATCTAGAACCTCACGGAGCGAAGCCCTAGTTATCATGTGGTCGTCGCATTTGAACCAGCTGCCCTTCATTTGTCGCACGTAAGCCGTATAGTGGCCAGCGTCCAATGAGCCCAAATGGTTAACGACAGCAAACAAGGAGTAACGGTTATCTTCAAAAACGCCCTCTGGTGCGTTATTATTGTCTGTCGCACCGACATCCACAGCGCGACGGTGGGACGACATAAAAGGCGTCATATCTAATTCCGCGGGGAATGATACGAACGCGGATATTTTCCTATCAATCTGCGACGAATGCTCGAAGCGTTTCAGGTGGAAACTTGCGACTATCGGGAGAGTTTCTAGGGTTAGTTGCTTCGTGGACTCACGGTACACTCGGCAATTAGAGCACTTGATTTTTGCTGCGGATCCGAGGTGTTCAGCTCGCGTGAAACGTTCCAAGCAGGCTTGTAGCGAACCGGGCCCGGCCACGTCTAAACTGATGTCCCAGAATGGATCTATGGTTGTGGAGACACCTGAACATGACGTGCATACAACATCGCTTTGTAGCCCGCCTGTGAATATTTGATCGATGATACAGTTGCAACGGCCATTCTCTTTCTTTTCCGTGTCTTCCACTCCATTCATACAGTGTCTAAAAATAAAACAAATAATAACTTTTTACAAAACTATCCCAAAACAGGTTTTATGGTTCATGTATGTATGTAGATTCATTCAATTATATTATCTCCCTTATCATACAAATATTTACAAGCAGTAATTATTAGTAATGTCACAAGATAGCTAATATCTTATAATAATTATTATATAATGGATAACTAGAGATTTCCATACGACATTAAGCTCGCCGTAAAAAAATTAAGTACAAATTCTATTTCACAATAAATATTAAATAAATGTCTCGACTGGAGAATACCTTTTCGAGATTAATAAAAATCCAAACCAACAATAAATAAAATAATTCTAAAAATATAATTAATTAATTACAAGGGGCATCATGGGCGACACAGTATACTTTGATCACAGAGACTTTGAGAATAATAAAAGAGTTATGTCCTTGGTACTGTTCATGTCTATAGGCGGCGGTTACCACTTTCCATCAGGTGGGCCGTCAGATTGTTTGCTATTCTAAGTTGCATAAAAAAAACATAATTATTATACTACTAATAACTATTAAGTTATATTTAACAAAGGTCACCAGAAAAATAGAACCCTTTTATTAGAGACTATTTACTTTATTTAACTTTATAATTGAAGTAACTTTGTTACATGGACTTTATCTAAGTTTATATTAGTCATTTAATTTAAATTAACAAATATCATTGCTTATTTACGAGCCTGTATTATATGAATACGTTGATAACCCTCATAATATAGATTAATAACATTGATGAATGTAATTAAATTATATCCGGGTTCGATTGCCAGATTGTGAGTAGAAATGCTGGAATCTAATTTCCTTAATAATGCTTTATTGACCGTTTCTTCAGGATAACATGGTAATTACACCACACTTATTATTTCTATTTACTACTAAAAATAAAAACCTATATACTATATCTGTGGGCCATCAGCTTGTTCACTATTCAGTTCACTGTAATATAAAAATATACTTTATTTATAATAATAATAATAACATTTATTTATTGGAACCATAAAAACTTTGTTACAAATTACAAAATTTACTTTTACACTATTAGGATAGACATTTAAAGAAGGCCAGGTGGATCATACCTATCTCTGAATTGTTTGGTGCATTCAACTATGTGTATAGACATGTCAATGTAACTTTATAAGAGGCTAGACCTCCCCTGGAAAAGAATCTTAAATTCGCCATTGACTAATAGGTATTTTGTACTAATATTATATAGAAAAGAGAAATATTTATTCTTAATGAACAAACTTACATTATTATTAATCGATTTAAAACATTCTTTCGCATATAGAAATCTATATTGTCAGCTAATAACATGAACTGTATTTTATTAAAAAAAAAATCGTTAGAAGCCGATGTCCCTAACTATATAACATACATAATTACACCGTATTTTACATTTGTATGAGCTCATGAGGATACTTTTTATATTAATTTGGCCTGTTTATATAAATATTAATATGTATTATTTACCTATAGTACAAGTCAGAGGCATAACAATAGGATGGACAAAATGCCACGGGCTCCGGCCCTGTTTCGAGTGACCGTGAATACAGAATAAATCTAAGATTTATTGCATGACATGTAAAGTGAAAAATTGTATTTAATCATCTTAAGAATTCAAGTATTTACTAACACGAATTATACAAATTACTTATCAAGATTTCAACAAAGTATTTTCGAATATAACCAAAAATAAACATTAATTTCAGTACTGTCGAAAGATTTGTATATATTCTATATATAAAAATAAAACTATACATCAAACTTTTTTAAATAAAAGATGGGTTCCATCTAATGAATTATCACAGGCTTCAGGTGGTATATGTTAGTTACGCCACTGGTTCAATTACTTAGATTTGGACGTTACGTAATATGCTTAGCAATATTTATTATTATTATTAAACATTAAATGGTAACCGTACCTATGGAGAACATCAAGTGTTGCGATGAAGAACTCGTGAGCGTCCTGCTGTTCATATCCGGCCAGGTGACGGGCGTGAGTCCAGATTAGGTGCAGCAATCGATGTAACGTAAGTGGAGTTTTTGCCCCAGAATAGAATTCCTTTAAATAATAAATAAAATATACAATTAAACCCATAAAAGTAGTATAATGTACTACGTATTGACTGGCAATGCAATCACAAAAACAAGACAAGAAAATTGTTAAACTAGTGTGCGTGTTCGTAAATGTATGCATGAAGCAGTTCTAAAATATGGAATTGACGATGAAAAATAGTATATAATAATTCACGTATTTATTATAATTTTAAATTCAATTCATGGGCGTTCTAAATCTTATTTCTGATTGTTCTATAATATTGCAAATAGATCCTTAAATAATAACATCATAATGTAAAATACTAAATAAATTTCCTTCTACAAAGTAAGTCAATTGCTGTTATATTAAATACGATACTGAGAGAGAAAATAAACACGAAAACTGATCAAGTGTGATTTGAATTAACTCGCCGAGGATTCCGTAGATAATGTAATCTCTAAAAATATTATTGTTTTGATTAGAAAAAATAATATTTAAATATATATAAGATATTACTTGAATATGTTGTATATTCGCCGTTGCTTCAAAAATACAGCAAAACCAGATACTCTAAGAGTGAAATTCTAAAAGCATATTACACTTTATTTATGTAAGAACATCATAATAGGCATCTAAATTCTAACAACCTCATCTATTGGCTAAATATAGCACTAAAAATCTATTGGAAGATTAAAAATATGCAGTTAATAATAACATATGATATAAAATGATGACCTTCTTTTTGATTGATTATTTTTAAACTTTTATAAACTGTAATTATTTTAAATTTTCCGCTTCACAAACTTCAGAGATAGGAGTAAGAGGTGGAGATTTGTAACATTCTTGATAATAAGTAAAAAACTACACGGCAAAAAATAAATAAAAATTAATTTTACAATGTACAAATCAAGCCCTTTCGTATAATAATATCCCACCTGAACAAACAAGTCAATTTTAAAATTATGAGTAGATATCCTTTTGGCCCCCTAGCAATGAAAATATTTTTTCAATTATTTCCACATAATATGTACACTGTGGACCCGCAATATGTACACTTTTCCAAATTTCAAATCAACAGCATTAGTATTTGCTGAGATATAGCACTGTGATAGACGGACAAAGTGGCATCAAAAAGATTTCTTTGTACCTTTTTGGTACGGAACCCTAAAAACGTAACGTTAGTATGTACTTAGCTGTTGATAGGTATTAGAGGCAAATAATAATGTTTCATAAACACCCTTGTACAAATTTATAAATAGCTCTTAGTATTGGAACAAATCAATACTGCCGAGTATTTACGTAAGTCGTATTTCATCATACCTGAAATAACTTCGAAACTTCACAAACTAGGCACTTCCCGGAACTCTGCGCTTTGCATTTATGCTTCTCTCCCAGAAAATAATCACGCAGTAGTGGAGTATGTATTAATGTCTGGAAACAAAGAAGTTATGGGTGATATTACTAATGTTAAACAGGTTTATCCTTTGGTATCGCTGAAAGTAATGAGATTACTCAAAATCTCCATGGGAGTGAAAGATAACGGGATCAAACGGGTGAAGTTTTTTTTATGCAACTTAGAATTGCAAACAAGCTGACGGCCCTCCTGATGGAAAGTGATAACTGTCGTCTATAGACATGAGCAGTACCATGGACATAAAAGAGTATACTCTTTCGCCCATGATACCGCCATACGTCACAATTCCTGAAGACTCAGGTGTTATTCCTCTGTACTCTGTAAATTCACTGCCATATACCACCTTTCAAACCGAAACACAGCCATGCAAACACAACTGTTTCACAATAGAATCGCAAATGGGACAGAGGTGGCCAAGCAAACGACTTTTGTACAAAGTCTCCCTCTGGTCGTGGCAAACAGTAAATATCAATACACCTGCTCACCTATTATTCCCAAATTAATTGGAAATATGTGCCTACTCTTTGATAGATTCATTTCGCTACATGATAAACTATTTACATTAATAATAATACTTTGAAAACAAGATTCATGATACATAAATTTTATTTTCCTTATACATTCTTGTAGAATGACGTAATTATTGTAAATATACTGCCAGGTCATTTGCCTCTTGCCTCGTGTTGTTAATTAGATATCTACCTTGCTTAAGTATCTAGCTAATGTGTCTATAATCTAAACCTCTTAATTTTCAAATTCATGTTTTAATCATTAAAAAATGATTGTGACACGTAAAGCTGTGATTTGATTAGCCCCACCAAAGCCCATCAGTGTATAACAATAGCGGACTAGAAACACTTGGCATTACAGAAAGACATCTTCACATATTAGTATTAGCAGTATAAGGCAAATATACTAAAAGAAGCTTTCCTACAAGAATTCATTAACTATTAAATATGAAATTATAATTGTTCATAATTGAAATAGATGCAAAAAGACAAACAGCAAAACCGGTTTGATCTAAATACTTAATTCTGGTTCCACTTCTATAGGTAACCTTGGCTTCTACAAAAGTTGCTTTTTATTCGAAACTAGTTGTGTCCCACGACTTTGTGCACATGAATTAGGATAAAAAATAAACCAAATTTTAGTTGAATCTGTTCAACTGCTAAGACTAATTTAGTAACAAAAAAAAAACACTCATAAACATTGATTGCTCTAATAAACCCACATTCGGAGATGCGATTTAAAATACTATATTATAATCATATAAATATGATATAATAATATAGTAAAACTATTCAATAAGTTACATCAGAATCCTCCGTGTAAAACAGAGGTAGTCTAAAAAACTCTTGATATTAAACATAAAATATATTTTCATTTTAATAATATGCAAATATATTGTACAAATATCATGTATCATGAACAACTGATATACAAATAGATAAAAATATATACATATACCGATTCCTTTTTGCCATTTTGATACAAAATCCTTAATATCAATACAAGAAAAATTTATTACTAAAATAGTTCACAGTGTGATAAAGTAAATCTGTATACGTAATGTAGTGTGTGTTGTTATTGTTTATAGGAGTGACTGTTTTAAAAATTTGAAAACATAAGGATTAAAAAAATTTATAAATTATACATAGTTTTAGTACATACTCATATGAAAATATTATTCCAAATATTGAATATGAACCTATACTTATTATTTAGATTTATAATTATTGAATATGAAACTATAAATATTAATCCCTGAAGATAAAATTAATCACAATTATTCATAAACAGCACCCAACAGCTTTGCTCACTTAAATTAGGATAAAAATATCCTTGATATAAGATAAAGTATATTCTAACTGTATGCAAAATTTCATTAAAATCTGATTAATTATTTTAGTGTAATTATGTAATAAAAATCCAAATATCTATACAAACTTTTTGTTTTGAAGTTTATTGCAGTTTTTTAGAGCTAATTATAAAGAAAATAGCCATCTTTTATGGATGTTATTATATTTTATAAGAAATTTATCCTGTTTTGTGCATAACTAACTCTGTTTAATGTATACTGAGTATAAAGAACTATTAAATTATTTATTAATATTAAATATTACCTGCACTATACAATTCATGAAGCAAGTAGAACCAAGGTTCTGCAATCCTCGCAGGCCAATGGTGGTGTGGGGGCTAATGAGACGACGTTTGCGGAGACGCCTGAGAGCTAGTGCTTCATTATTATTGGGTAACCAAGGCATGAATGGCACACTGATACCCAAAGATCTAAAAATATTATTATAGATACTTATTTCCTCTATACTCTATATAATTTATAATCCTCTTATGAGAGTGTACTGTCTGTAAAACAATTTACTTGATAAAATTTAAGTTGAAAACACAACAAAAAGTTTTGAGCTTCTCATACTAACATCATATTTAATTGTCAGCTGTCTTACATAATTTTTGTATACATTTTTATGCAAAAAATGTTTAGATTAATTGTTTCCCTGATGGAACACTCCCTTAAAAGAATACTTACTCCCTTAAAAGAAAACATTTGAATTTCACTTGTATATTAATATTGAAATTTTGTGTAAAACCAATCCAAATGAATAATATTATGTAACTACAATAAAAGTTAATTAAATGTGAGATTTAATTTTATAATCAAAGTTCCAAGCAAATCTTAATAATTTAGTTTACATTATGGACTATATTTGAATAGTAGACATTCCATCACAGAATTACTTATTTATTAAAATCTGTAAAAACTTATTCAAATCTATTAAAAAAAACATTTTTTTTATCATGATTTAACAAATGTTAAGTGATGCATTCTACTGAATTAGGTGTTATTTTGTAGAAGTCCATATAATTGGTTAATTAATTAGAATCAAAAAATAATAATTGTAATCAACTAACTAATGTTAAGTAAAGCTTTTAAAAATATTTAAATGCTAATAGATGTACAGTACAAATACATAAATATTACTTACTTGGCTTCCTTTAATCTATGGGACATGGCAATTTCAGTCAATTCTCTATCATATATATAATCTTGACATTGGGCACAGAAAATGTTCCCATAACTCAGATCTACATACAGGAAATGTTTTTTAGACTTGGAATGGTCTTGGATATGTCCAGCATAACAGGCAAAATATATGCAGTGGAGACAGGAGTGCATGCGAGGGCCTGGTTGACCACAAGTGAAGCACAAGCAAGATGTAGCCTGTGGACATACACTGCTATGTAATATCCATTTTAACTACAAATATTATTACAAAAATTTTTTTTTGTTTAATTAATTTAATGTTAATTCAAAAATTGTTTAAACCTCATTTCTTACTTGCATTAAGTATAATATAAATAATACCTAATATTATTTCAAAATGTATATGGGTTCCAGAAAACACTAGACAAAGACGTATACCTATTAATGACCAGTAGTTTCAGTTACAACCGAATCCGTGTGAGGAACAGCTGTTATGAGGTCAAAGATCACTAATCAGCTGATTAATTATACAGCTGACCACAAGAAACTAAATATTGATGATATTCATAAAACTTAAACAGCTCCCAAGTGTACGTTGTATCTCACGCTGAATCAAAACAATGAAGAGTAGGCAGCCACCATAGCTTTTTACTTATAAAGCGTTGCAACACTATCAGATTGTAAGCATTTTACGCAACATACCTTGTATCTCCTGGCTTCGTAAGATGTGCATGATACGAAAAATGCATGGACAATTTTATACGGATGTATTCCTTTGGCAGCCTTAAAATTATTCAGGTGTATGCAACCATTGTCATTCATTATTTCGCTTGTTAATTAAAACACCGGTCAATCGAAGGCAAATTTACGTTTTTTGTGATTTATACAATTTTTAATATGTCATTATATCACTATCAAATGTCACTTTTAAATAAGAAAATTTTAATATATAATAGTAGCCATAAATTTTAATGAAATAGTCAAGTCAACACAGGGGAGAAGAGTACGGGGCGTGTGCTGCTGTTCTTTCTAGTTTCTCGTATCGTAAAGTTACGAGATATGGTACCTAGGTATCGTATCATAGGTACCTGCTTTTGTAAGGCCTTTGAAGTAAACCCTAATAATCGTTTGATATCGATTATTATTCGATTAATTAATAGGGATTTCATTTTTGTGTATTGCTTTATTCGATTATGATTAATTAAAATATACATTTAATCAAGACACTATATGATTGTGAATGTAATAGATAGTATCGACAGCAAATATTGTAACACTGCTATGTAATTCATTGAACTGACAAAATAATATATTAGGTATCAAAGGGCCCTTATTAGCGAAAACCAACTAATACAGTATAATTCGAATTACTACATAATATGAATTAATCGAATAATTCTGAAAGTTTACTCTATTTGTACACTACTATTTTTAATAGGTACCTAATAACATTTTCTATTTACTAATCGAATCATTCAAACATGAACCAATTCGTACTCATCGTTTTGTACGTCTGGCTTATGTACCGACTGGTTTCTTTTTATTTACATTATTATCAATTTTTATTTGATTAGATGAAATTACTAATCAGTAGTAACTATTCAAATGTAATGTAACTAATTTAGCAATCGTATTTAAAAATTAGAAATCTATATTCGCAAATTACTGTGTACTTATTTAATTGACCATGGCGATGACTAGTTCGTGCAATGTGTAGAATCAAGATACAAGGAGATTGTAAATTATAAAAGTATAGGTATAGGTAGTAATTACTCTGAGCCATGGGGGGAAAGGGATTATTAGCAATGGAGTTTGACAGCCCCATTGCTAACAATATGCCTTATTAAGTCGACCTCCACTTGGTTCCCCATGGAAATCATCGTGAACAATTCTTGTTGACTTCGTCACGATGGGTTAACTGACCTGCTTCATCCTCACTTATCATCCCTCACTGGTGCCCCGTCGGAGTATATCGATTGCGCGGGTGGGATTACAATTCCATTATCATCCATAAAAAAAAAAAAAAAACTCTGAGTCATACATTGAAAACTTAGTACTGGCACTTAATAAAAGTAATAACACATCAGCAACATCGTAACTATCTGTCTATATACTTTTTTTTTATACCACTAGTGAAGTGAGGTAGCAAACAAGCATACGGTCCAACTGATTGTAAACAGTTACTGTAGCCTATCAACGCCTGAAACAGCAGCAGAAGAAGCATCTCCTATTCTCCTGGATGTCTTAATCGACATTCAGGCTCTAAACTCTAAAATATGAGGTTAAACTCCGTGTAGGTGACAAGCTCTACGATGGTAGAAAGTGTCCTTGGGCATCATGTTAATCAATTCCTCTAAACACAGTTCATAACACAAGCGGAAGAATACGCAGATTGAGACAAAATCTTTCATAAGACTTAAAGCTTCAATATCGCTTAAGAACTTTGGGATCATCAACGATTCTCTTAGCACGTCGTTGCACTGAGTCGAAGGGTTCAAGCTTGTATTTAGATGCTATTGCCCATAAGTAACAGCAGTTACAAAGTAAAACAATAGTTGGTCCGGCGTAAAGTATTGCTTTTCTATATTACTCAATAACGAGCTTTTTTAGCTTTTCAGCTTCACTTTATCACTAGAGATATCGACACTTAGGACCTCAATAGTCTTAAAAATTATAAGGGACATGCGCTGAAATTGTGAAACCACAGTAAATATTTTTTTAAAAAGTCTAAACTGAAATAAGTTTTGTTATCTCCAGTCGGAGATCTTGGCTAGCGTACTCATGATTTTAGCTACAAGGTAATCACAATTGTCCTTCACGATGGAACGAGGGACGAGATTGTAATTAATATTGTTGTAATGTGGCTGAATCAATGATTTATTATTATTAATAATCATTGATAACTGTTTTTATATGTCTGCTATACAAAAAGCCGCCAATCCATATATACAGACTCTTGTGAAGTCCATAATAGAGTAGTATAATTTTGATACAAGACTTTAACGCCAAGTTTGATCCGAAAACGCCTTTGTGATTAATATTATCCGAGAGAATTAAACATTTTTAAATGTTTCTGACTAATTATTTAAAAATGTCTCTGTTAAAAAACTAAAACGTTAATAATGGAAAATAAGATTTTTATATAGCTATTACAAAGTATTTGTATTTTGGTGGCATTATATACTATAATATTTAAGTTTTCCGTAGGAAAATATAAAGCGTGTATACATGGCTGTAGCTAGGGAAGGGGGAATTAAGGGGAAATGCTTACCTTACCTTGACTTACCTTGAAATGAAAAGGCCTTAATAAAATGAGACAGACTTACTTTTTTGAAGTCACTAAATTATGGCTTCTGTTCTACTAAAAAGTTCTTTTGCCCTACCTTAAACTTGGATCTAGCTACGGTCCTGAGCGTGTGTAATATTTAGTGGTAGATTTATATACAACTTTTTTTATGCTTTCTTTCGCTTGCAGAGCACTTTTTAAATAATTATTCAGAAACAACGAAAAATGTTAATTTTTTTAATTCGGACAGATTTTTCATTTTAGAATGCTCTTAAATACATTAAAATTTATAAAGTAATTATGCATAATATAAATACTTTGTTTCTGCCTACCCTAATAATTAAAGAAGTACTTATATTATAATAAACATTAATTTTTAAATAGAATCGTAAGAATGAAAAACAACTTTCTAATATATATTAATAAAAAAATTATAACTTTCAATTATTCTAAATAGAATGCGAATAATATACTATTTATTTTTTCAATTAAATTCTATTTATTTTCTTCCTCATTCCTATTATTTATTCTGCCAGTGAAAGCGAGATAACAATAGCAGTGGTAGTAATTGTAGTTAGCGATGAAATTATATTGTACTTCTTGGGTTCCGAAGTATATTTTTTGTCATGGAAAGGTTATAATTTAATTTTTTTGAGTTAGCAATACTGGTGTGAGAGCAAGCTAGCAAGTAAATAAATATGGCCGCTACCCATTTAATAACCATGTAAAACTCTTGTTTTTATTTTCTAAATACTTTAGACATGATAAGTGAATTTGAAAATTTGTCCCTGGGAGGAAATAACGCTGCAAATAATCATGGAGACCCGTTTACTCACACCGGTAAGTTTATTATTCATTTACAATGTTGACGTAGAAGTTGTTTTTCAATACATGACCTCAATGGCTTGGTTTTTTTTATAATTACGTTTATACTAATAATTTTATTTATGTTTACAGAGTTGACACCAGAACAGCAAAAGACTTTGATCGATATAAGACGGAGAAAAACTGAATTACTATTGGAGATACAGGTAAGCAATTTAATCTTGAAATTTGATGACGATGATTTGAAATTTGATCCCATAATTGAATGAAAGAATGTTTCTATTGACATTATAATGTTTAAGATAATCCAATTATATAGGCACATAATTTTGTATACATTTGCCATGCAAATTACTATTAATTAAAATAGAAAAACAAAGTTACTAATACAAAATTAATTACAATTATAAGTTATTAATTACACACGGTGCAAAATTGTAATCTAATTGTTATTCAAGCATTTGGACAGGTATTACAGTGATTTGTAAATTATTAAATAAAACAATCGCATATTATTAATTATTTAATTTCAAGCAATAATATTATACTTTAAGGTTTTGTTCCTCCAAATTACAACTTCACTCATGATTATTTATATGGGACTAACATGAATGTGAATCTTATTAATTTCTAAAAATCTTTTCAAAATTGGTATAGAATGGATGAAACTATTTTTTATAATTAAAGATAATGGAACGGTAATCCTGCCTGCACTATCGGTATACACTGAAGGGGTACCAGTGAGGGATGATAAGTGAGGATGCAAAAGCAAGTCAGTTAACCCATTGTGATGAATTCAATGATAAATTAGTCACGATGGTTTCCAGGGAAACAACATGGAGGTCGATCTGATAGGGTATATTGATAGCAATGGGGACTAACCTCCCCATTACTAACAATCCCTTCCCCCTGGGTGAAGGTATAGTGTCACATACACTTAAAATATTATATAGGTTAATTTTTCTCCTTTGTCTGAAAAGTTCTAATCATCATTACTATTAAGGGAAAATGGCAGTTCACTGATTAATATCTGTTGCCTGGAACACAAAATATTTTAAAAATAATTTCTCAAAATAGAAAGAGAATATTAGAAGGGAATACACACATAACATGTTCTATGTGGGTGAAACTAAAGTAACATACACATAACATAGTATTAGATAATTCACTATTTTGTGCCCACTTTTTACTTTTTTTTTTTATTACTAACACTGCAGTCTTTCTTCAATTACATTCAGCAAGTACATATGAGAGTAGAATAATCAATGACATCAGTCTTTAGACCTTGTCCTGACTATTACAAATACAACAAAAAAAGGATTAATCAAACAGTTTCAGCTGTTCTGGAGTGATATACTTACAATGAACAATTGTTTTTTTTTATTTATATAAATAATTATTTTTAATAGAAGTAATGGAATGGCAATCTCCCTTGTGCTATTTGTGTATGCTGCTGGCTCATTAGACAGATGAGTGTATTGAATGTTTAGACTTATATGTGTCCTATATAATAGCATCATCCTCATTATATCAGCCATTAACTATGCACTGCTAAACACAGGCTTTCCCTTTGAAGGAGGGAGGTTGCCAGTTGTTGCCGTGCTTGGCTAACAAGTTGGCATCTACAGTTACACTTTTTTTTTATGGGTGAAAATGAAATGGTAGCCCCACCTGCGCTAACGGGATAAGCTGGTGGAGTACCAGTGAAGGGTGATCGATGAGAATGAAAACAGGCCAGTTAGCCCATCATGATGAATTCATCAGGAATTAACCATGATAGTTTCCAGGGGGAACTGCGAGGAGGTCGACCTGGTGGGGTATATTGCTAGCAGTGGGATTCTCAGTCTCCATCACTAACAATCTCTTTCCCCCCTACAGTTACACTTAGGTGATGTTTTAAGAGATATGCTACTGCCCATCCCTCTACCATTAAGTCCTATATAATATTAATGTCTTTAATAAAACTGGGACTATTAGAATATAACCAGCCTCCCAACATATATGGCAACCCTTGTCATATTTGGTTGTTGAGCTGCAGTATCTTGTTAGTGTGTAATATAATATATTATAAATTATCATGAATTAAATATAAAATTATTTCTGAGCTTATTAGTGCATAATAGAACTATTTTAAAATGTTAATAAATAATAAATTTTGTAATCATGTGATTTTTGGTTAATCAGTCGGGGAAAGGACAATTATTGTTATTACCCAAAATGTAAAAAGTTATTAATATGGAGTATTATTGAAGAAAAATTATTATTTAAAGAGATCTCATCTCAATATCTCATCTCTATACCCTCTATAATTGTCATAGCAATCACTATGACAATTATAGAGGGTATAGATGATATTGATAAGGTTATCACTGTGGAAGACTATAACTATAAATATAAAGATTTCCCAATGAGGCAACCGTACAGGTGGATACACCAAGAAATGGCTAACTGGCATTTACAAAGAGTATCTAGTTTAAGGAAGAATTTCAGCTACGTCCAGCAGTTCACATTGTAATGATCAGTGGACATGTTTAAAAAAGTGTAGTGTCAATATGAGTGTTAGTGAGTATACTAATAAATATGTAATGACTTCATAAAAACACATAATAAATACTAAATCATCATCAGATTTTATTAAAAAATACTAAATCATCATCATATGATAGTTAATTATTACTAATATTTACTGAAATAAATTATATTCTTATTTTTATTTTTTTTGTGGCTTCTATTGTGTATAAATGTTTGTTTAATAGGCAATGATCTATTATTGTCCCTATTATTATTTTAAGGTATATTTTTTATCTAGATATAAAAAATGTTTTGATGGTCCTATGGCTATAGTTATATGAATATTGAACTCGTCAAATTGCATTCTAAATAATGGACATCAATTGTACCTTTGACTATATCAGATACTTTTCATGTGAAAGTGAAAAATGAGATACATTGTCTTGTGTATCAATGATGGCATCTAAAATGTACAGAAAAATGTATAAAAAAGATATCGATACAAAAAAGGTGATTTCAGTCATTTTACAGACAAGAATCATATTATGTACTAGTTATGTGCTCTTACAACGATTAACCAAAATTATCCTGATTAACCAAAAATTGTTGAGTTACATAGTTATAATGATGAAAAAGGCTCAAAAATATGTACATATTGATTATTATTATAAATGAAATAAGAATACGAAAATTATACATGAGTACGTACAAAGAAATTATAAATATATCGTAATTGCTTAGAGATATACTAATATTAAATATAAAGAGAATAGTTAGTTTTAAAGAGAAGTTATTGTAAGACATGATAATACAAGCAATTAGATCGATTCGCCTTTTGCATTTTACACAATATCATCTCTCTCTCTCTCTTTTTATTTAAGAGTTTCCTCTTGTCGGTGCAACTAATTAATGCATCTTCTTCCAGCCAGTTCTATCCCAGGCCATATCTTGACCTCCCCATACGATATGACACCTAGTGATTCTTTTATCTGGCCCACACAACATCATACATTAGAAAAAATAAGGAGAGTTCCTTGATTTATTAATACGAGTAAAAATGATTTTATCTTTTATCCACAAGTGGCCACGTGGTTATATTTAGATGATTACTAAACATATAATAATATGAAATGATATTATTGAACAACTGCAAAAACGTATTTGTAACACGTTGTCGTGATAACAAGACCAGAAATGGTTTGTGAATTTTAAAAACCAAATTCGATTTTATTTAAAATTCGCTATATTATAGAAGTTTTGCCTACTTCAATTACGTTTATTAATTATTGAAAATATATATTACCATAATTAAAAATAGTCTTATAGGACTTAGGGATAATATATTTGATAAAGCTGGGAGTAATTCACAAGTTCCGCTCGTTTTCAGCCTTCCACCTGAAGGTGAGGTTCATCATGAGGTTGAAGTCAAGTCAGTTAGCCGTTCCTAATGACGAATTCACTAGGAACTGTGGTTATTTTTTATTATGTTCTAACCATTGGCGAGTAGAACTGTTTTATCTTCACTTATCTCATATTGAGAACACTTTGTAGGTGCATTGAAAAAAATTTGCAATTCGTGAGTAATATGACGTACATTCATCTGTCTCACCATAATATGGTGACTCAGTTGAGATAGCGATTACTTTTCACCATGGATTTTCGTAAATATTAAGAAATGTTAGTGTAAAAAAATTATTAGTAAATATAAAAATACTTTGGAAAATGCTTAGGTTAGTCAATGAGTTATTAATTAAATATTAATGGGTAAATAAATATTATATATAGGTTACTTAATTGTACTTCAAACAGTTAGTTATCTGTATGATTCATGAATAAATGACTCATTGTGAACTTCTACTGCCATATAAATTTCAGTGTTCCCATATATTATTAAATTAACATATATTTATTTTTTTCTAGTTTTTTGCTCGTTACTTTGTATTCGTGGATTTCAAAGTAGGAAAACCATTGCCATAGATCACTACTGGACAGCATATGAAGATAAAATATACATCAGATTTTAAGTTAGACTTTCAGGAATATAAATGTAAAAACCGCACTCAATTTGATGCATTAGGTTTTGCGTTATGCCGGAACAAATATACAGACAGGTAAATAGTCGATTTACAAGTAATTGTTTTGGCATTTATTGGTTTTGTTTTAACCCTTCATATTAATTTTTATTAAACAATTATCCCATGTCATCATCCCATAATTTTATATCCCCATGTCCCATCATCATGAAACCATCGTGATTATATTTAAGAAGTAATTTTCATCTATCATCCTTCACTGGTGCCCCGCCGTTGTACACCGATAGTGCGGGCGGGGTTACTATTTCATTATCACCCATAAAAAAAAAATAAGAGCAATAGGCGTCAACACAATAGCTTTTGGATATTTTTTCTGTCTGTATCTGTTCATATGTTTGTTTTGGCATCACGCAAAATCTACTGCATCGTACTGAACACGGTTTTCATAATTGAGTAACTTAAAACTGGTGCATGTTTTATCTTGATACGCCATCTAAAATTGGTCTATTTCATTGGTTTTCCTACTTTTTAAATCCATGTGTACGAAATAGCGGGCAAAGGCTAGTCTTCTTATAGTCTACTAAATATTAGTAAACCTAATACATTGGTCGATACCTTATATATCAGTTGTAGTTTGACATTATTTTCGTCACCTTCGACCTATTATAGGCTATTATAGTGTCGTCAAATTTTCTAAATATAGTCCTTTACTATTCCTTTTTTGGAAGCTTTGTTACGTCTGTACAAAATCACACCCCTGTTTCATTTCATTCAATACGCGAGTGGTCTGACGTAAGCCGTCAATGCATACCAACTACTATACCTACTGTAGTAAGTCAGTCAGTGTCAGAGAGCGCGCCGAGCTGGCGTGTTGCATCGCGCGTTTCGTGAGGTGGTGTCTGTCACTACTAACCCTGGGCTGTGTAGAAAGTTCAACAAATATTTTGGTGAAGTGTGATTTGAAAGTACAAATATAAAAATAGTTTTCATTCATAAAAAATTAAAACGTGGTGCGTGTAAAATAAAATTTAATCGTAAGTTCTCCAGTGATAAGGCGGATAAGTGGAAATTGCTGTGATTTTGTTCGTCGTCAGACGTCAGGGTTTATTTTGTTATTGTACCTTATTGATTTTGATTCCGTCATTTTGTTTTTCAGCTTTATTTTTAATAGAATTCTTTAAATATTCTTAATTTTTTTTAAAGATAATTTTACTTTTATCTTTTATTTGTAAATATTACTAATCTCTTAATCTTTTTTAATATTCATATCTTTTGTTCTTAGACATATTTGACCTCTATGAATTGCTAATTGTAAGGTCTTTTGTATTTATTCATTATACCTAGTTAGGTGACTAAGGTATGTCATGTCTTGTTATACGTAACTGAAGAGATCGCAATATTGTCGATTGTAATTATCATTTTCTACCTATAGGTAGTGGGTAGATTATTAAACACAAATGGGTATGTTATATTTATGATCATATTTATCACTTATAACAGTTACTTATTATTATTGTTTAGACATTTACTAGACATACCTAATTGACGTTAAATTAAAACAGCCTCTTCCCGTATAGGCATTTTCTTCTTTTAGAATAGGACAGTGTTTTTGTTATTGATAGCATTTACTTTTTAGCAGCAGCATTTTTTTTTTTCTAAAATAGTTACACTAATAAGTACCTACTAACTAGACAAGTATTTTTCTAAACTGGTTTGAAACTTAATCTATTTTATAGTTTATGTGTTAGACTAACTTGTCTGAATTTCGTAAAATTTATGTAATTTGAATTTAATTCTTTTTAGTTTGTAAATCATATTTCTTCCGTTATACCTAATTTGGCATCCGTAGACAATTACATAGGTATGATGAAAAGTGAGAACTTTTCAATTTAAAGTTCATAAGGGCAATGATTCATTACTATTTGTTATTGACTCACTGAAATTGATGTTGATGGTACAGAATTCTCGCACAACGGACAAAGTTCGCGATTCATCAGTTTTATCACATTTCCTTTGTCGTTTCCGCAGCGTTGTGGCCGCCATCCAGCTCCGATAACAAACTAGGGTCCACATTGCCTACAAACAACAAAACATTGTACCATTGTTCTTTTCTGATCACATTCAGTGTAATTATCCATCTGTAATTCTAACAACTGTCGTACCTAATCAAAATCGCAGGACCTTGGTTAACTAACGCTATTTCATTTGTAATAGACAAGACTATAATATTACTATTGTATCTTGTCTGTCTTTCATAGATATCTTGATAACGAGTCGTATTTTTCGAGAGCCTTGTCACAGACGCGTAGAAAGATAAAGCACTTTACATACGTATATGCAATTGTCACGGTGCCAAACTCAGCTGGCGTCCGTGTCTATCTTCAGTCGAGTGCGTTCCTTAGCTGGAAGTGTATGGCGCGCGATGTGTTTGCATGTCCGCCTGCTCTGCGGTGCGCTGTGGTGGCCGGTGCTGGTGCGTTGCGCTCGCGCAGCACGCACCTACGACGACGACTATGATCAGGTGTGTCATTGATGCAACTATTTGTGCACTGCGCATACCAACTGTTTATATTGTTAGCTTCACATATTTGGCAATTATGTACCTACTTCGGTCCCACTATCTGATTTATTCGGCAACGAGCAATCACGCAATTTTCCACTTTAATTTGCTTTGTTTCTTGGCTTTCATTAATTTTTGTTTGGGCTTTTAGGTCACGTGTGATATTTAGTTTTATTAATATTAGTAAAAATCGGGTTTTAGAAATTGTGCGAAAGTTGGCAGTACTTATAGTGTGATGTGTGGAGTGCCTTGGCACTTGTGAAGTAATGTTTATCAAAGCCGGGCCGGGAACGGCCGAACAGGAGCGTCGTGGCTCTGTCTCCAATTGGTTTTCATCATTACGGCGAGGTGCTGGACGACGCAAACGCGAGGAATCCGCTGTGCCGACGAGTTACGGATCATTAGGCAGGAGGAAAGATGGGGGACAACCACGTGGCAAGACGCGATCCGCCTGGGACCTTACCACCATTGCAAGACTGGTCTGTATCCTCTCATTCGACATAGTTTACGAACACAAAATAGCGTGACATACTGCGCTGGACACCACATTTGGCTGTTATCCAAATGCGCTAGATCGATCACGGACTTTGCGTCTGCGTACGGAATAAAATTATAAAAGAATTGCATTTATTTTACACATATTTCATAGTTTTTTTAATTTATCGACAAAACCACAGTAGGTATGATTAGACTAGCATTATCAGAATCCCCGTTTAAAGGAAAACAGTGCATTGCTGACTCATAAGCACTCACAACAATAACACAGCAATATTATATTATTAAAAGTTATACTTTTAGTAGAAACAATTGTGTAAAAAAGTTTAGATTGGTAGTTAACTTTATTCTTTAGGTATTTTATGAAATTTAGGCTTTTGATTGCTCTTATCAGTGTAAATAGAGATTTCTACACTACAAGACTAGTACAGGCATTTTGTATTAGGTATTAAAATGCAAACATAATTAAATAATTTTACATATTTGTCAATGACAGTTTAAAAAATGTTCTTATATTGGATAAAAGTGTTAATCTTATTATAAAAAAATTTTTATAACCTGTTCTAGATATTTTGTTAAAGATAATTAAATTATCTTTAAAAATGGCAAAAATGTGCATGTAGAGTTATAAACTTCGGTATGAACTGTGAATTAAAACTATGTTAAAATTGTTCAACAGAAGCAGTACATACATCTTATATCATAGTATTGTTTTCTGATTGTTTTGTGCTGTTATAAGACATCTGCTGACTGACTCACATCTTATCACTAGCCTAAATTCTTTTCAATGATATCAATGACTTATCATCTGTTGTATATAAAAATTTAACCAGTTGCTTACCTTCACATTTTTGTGTATTCAGATGAATACAAAATATTTTTAGATTAATTTATATTATGGCAGAAATTTTGAGCATAATTTAATATATTATAATTAATATTCTTGCACTTATATATATTTAATTACCATCATTATTTTGAAGGTAAAATAAATTTGAATATGTATGTAGTTGTAAGAAACCAAGCATTGTAGGAACAATGTTTCTATGATCAAATAAAATATAATTCTTCTGTAAAACTGTTATGGTACGAAACTGATAACATAGTGGAACTATCTTCCTTATCGCAATCAATTGTTTTGTGCTATATTTCCGTTGTAATAGTATAATTTCAAGGACACGACCTTCAGTAATGAAGAGGACGAAGAGAGAGAGTATAATTTCGAGATCGTCAAGTGATTTTTAAGTAAAAGAATTTTTTTACTAAAAAATATGTTACAATCTCCTACCAAATGTTGTGGGGTTTCTTCATTATTAATTATTTTTACACAATATATTTTTTAATTTCAAAATGTTATTCTATATTTATTCTCCATTATTTATTTTTCTTCTTTCTATTTCACTCTTTATTTTCTTTTTCTTATTTTTTATTAAATCTATCTCTGAAAAAAATTCTTATTTAGTAATTTTAGAGAACCGAGTTTCAAATATTCCTTATTCAATATTATTATATTATATAATAATATGGTATTTAATATAATACATAAGTCGAGAAAGTGAAACGTAATAATAATATAATAAATATTTATAAACAAATATTCGAAGCTAGGTAACGACTTAAATTTATTTTTTTTATTAATAAATTTTAAAACATGATATTAGCCAATGCTTAAATTACAATATGTAAATGTATGTAATGTTGCAATTGAAGACGACCTCTTGGTTAGATACATACTATATGTATATTTATTGTTTAGGGCGTCAAAGAATACTAACAAGTCCTTTTCTTTTGTTGAAACGAACGTTTGTTCTTCGTGTATGTTGTATTTGCATGAAATTATTTCCGCATTGTGTGCGATCGCAATGCGTGAGTCACACTATAACCAAGCCTAGTTTTGTATTTCAACCAAAACACCTTAACTTTGCACGGGATCATACTAAATTTTTTAAAAATATAAACAACTGTTTCGTGCGATTGTTTACATTTGTGTTCTTTTATCAGTTTTGGTGTAGCTTGCTTTCAGTCTGTAATTTTGTTATGGCGTTCTTAAATATTGTTATTTTAAAACTCAATTTTGTATTTTTTTTTTGTTATTTTTCCAATATTTTTCATAAATATATATTTATTCTACGAAAGATGACAAAAATCTTAACAGCGTATTATCTTGCAGAAGCATAAAGTGGCATTGGATAGAAATACTTGATTGGCTTAATTAATATAACCTTTAAACCCTTTTGTCGTGACGTAAGTCCGTTTTGGGGATTCTGGGGATGTATTAATTTTGATACCCATCGCTCGCAAACTCTCGCCAGCTTTCGCTTTTATGTTGAGTAATAATTTGGCAGTGACAATGTCAGGTCACATTTGTCTTTGGATAATATACACTTCAGTTCTTGTCCTGTGTACATTTAATACAAGTTTTAGATTAAAATAAACGACGTTACAGATGTATTGACGTGCTCGCATTCCATGACTGGGTGAAATAAAAAGCCTACATAAAAGGCTCGTCCATGCATGACACGGTACGTTGTACCTTTCTGCAATACGCCCCTGGTATTTTAAATAGAATTTGTTTTTGATGAGAGATCATGACAATACACTGGAAAGGTTTTTAAATAATATTTTAACATCTGGATAACATGTCAGTTTATGAAGAAACAAAATGTTGATAAAATTATAAGATACTGTTTTGTTACTTGCTGTTTGGTTTTTTACTATTTGATTTTGATAGATGATAAAAGTAGGCTTATCCTTAGGTCATCTTACAAATACAAATCTATTCATGTAAATATTTATTTATTAATTGATTTAATATGTTTAGTAACAATTTAGAAATCATAATTTTTATTAAAATATCTACATGTGAAGTCAATAGCATTTAGTAATTATGCCTAATTAAAAATGAGTTACATTATCGTCAAAGTAATAAAATATTTAAATTCCAAATACACATTAAATGTATGCGAACTAATTACTAATATTAATAGATTAGTCGTCACTATACTTGGATGAATTTATTAGCAGATTCATTATTTTATTTAGTACCGCAGAAGTCATGGATTATATATTGTAATGTTTTTGTGGTAAATATATTGTTTTCTAGAAAAAGTATATGAATAAGAAGTTTTTTGATGCCCCTAAATCGTTATCACATCATCGATAAAAAAGTTTGTGATTTCAGAAATCGTACTTGAAATTAAAATAAGTTTTTGAAAATACGGTATGTTATTAGAATTGTCCAGCCTGAGGTTCTATATTTAAGAGAACGTTCGATATACAGTTTCTAAGTGTCAAACCATTCTTGTAGAACTATTGGCCTAGAATAGAAACATTTTGTTTTAGGAATTCAACATGTAAGATAATGATATTTTAATTTAAATAAAATAGCTCCAGTTGTTTACTTTCTGTGAGGGTACACAATTAAACATCTTATTGTCTTATATACAAACATACAAAAACAAAGGCAGTCGGGTAAAAATTAACAAGTTGATAGCATGCTTATCCATCATCGCGTGCAATTCTTGACAATAGTAATTGTTATCCCAGATCCCAAGAATTAGTAACACTGGCGGTGGTCTGCTTTTGACGTACAGTTTAGTCTTGCTTGGATCTAGTTAATAAAATGAACATTCACAATTATCGATAATATAGGATTCATTTTTGCTACAAGTAATAATAACCTGAATCTTCCACACAAAAGGTTACAAAGACGAATACTCGTGGAGATTATTCTCACGAATTTTTTATTGCTTCCACTGTAATTTACAAATTTGTTCGTTTTTATTTATTTGTATTTTAAACGTTTAGTTCATAGGACACCTTGGGATATCGAAAAACGTAAAGTGCATTTCTAGTATCTGGGCCATATATATATCATTTAATTAAAGAGTAACAAAATTAAATTCCACCACTAATCATGTTATTTGGTAATCAATAACTAATTTTATTAATACAGTATAGATGATGTAAAAATAATATATTTGGTATAGCGATCAATTATATTACCAAATGGGATAATAGTTGTCGTCTTTTTGATGTGATTTTGATTTGATCTCACATCGATTGCGTCAAACGGCAGCCTGTTGTTATGGTCTTCATTGTCTGTAATAGACACTAACTTCACTACATCCGCATCGTCTTAAGCAGATTATTGCGTTGCGAAACTGCTTATGTAATTTACCAATTTGTTTTCGGCGTATTCTTCGCCGCGGAATCTAATCGAAAAGCGCCGATCTATTGGCCTTCCAATTCTGTTTAGCGTGATTTTACTAATAGGCAATGATTAACTATTCCGTGGTATGTACAACTCGCACATTGTCAAGTTTTTGCAAATTTTCTCGTGTTCTACATTTATAATACGTAACATTTTAATTGGAGCATGCATTTCATTGTATCAATTATATTACCACGGTTACGATTTAATACAATATGTATCACATCGTGGGAGTTTATAATTTCTTAATATGAGTTTAATTAGATAATTGCATTATTATCATAATTATCATCATCATATCGGCCTTTAACCGTACACTGCTGAACATAAGCCTCCCCCTTGGGGGGTTTTGCCAGTAGTTGCCACGCTTGGCAGGCGGATTGGCAACCGCAGTCAGGCTCAGAGATGTTTTAAGAGGGACGCTGCTGCCCATTCCTCGCCCTCCCTTAGTCGTCTTTTATGACACCCACGGGAAAGGAAGATGTTGTCTATTCTATGCCGGGACCACACGGCCAATTGCATGTGTATATGTAATTTGAGTTGTTAACTCACTTTAATTAGCCTCATGCTTTTGTCAACAAATTACATATATATGGACATGTACAAGGTTTATTGACATAAACCTTGTACATGTCCATTCTATATTAAATATACCTTCATTTACTTTCTTCTTTAGACCACAACGAATTCAGACCACAATCAGTTTATTTTTATCTTCGGTTTAATATTTCTATTCATAGTTATAAGAATAAGTTTTCAAATGTTGTGGGC